GACTGATATAAATCAAGTAGGCATGGATAGATAGAAAAAGAACAAAAGAAAGATTGATAAATAACCCAGGATGGGTGAGAAATATATAACAATGGTAAATAAAGATGGATTAAAATAAAACAGCGCTGCGTCAATGCAATTGTGCACATTGATACAGTTATTTGACTTAATCATAACTGAACAATTTAAAACAATAACAATTGTTTTGAATATGTTTTTTAAGCTCTTCGTTCATGAAACATTAATGGCTCACTACTGAATAACCAACTTTGATTAGCTACTAATATTTTAAAGTCCTTTAAATGGATACTGTTGATATGGTTTCAAGAAATCCTCTATTGTTAACTTCCTTCTTCGTCACTGCAGCATAAATCCTCAATTCACTTCTATCGAAAACCGCAATTGAAAATACATAATTTTCAGATAAAATAAAAAGGTTTATAAATGTACCAATTTGAATCGGAAGTGATCCACCCTACATTTTACATTCTACATAATTTTTATCCTTCATAGTTATTAAAATCAATTTATATCCTTTATAGTTCTAAACTTCATTCTACATTATTTAAAGTTTTTAAACTGCATCTAATCCTTTATATTTCTTTTTAACATCTAGATATTTATTTTACGCATATCATAGTTACAAGAATTTGAATCGGAAGTAAGATTCTTTTGAAATAAATACGACTGCATATTATATCGTCAACAATAACATTAACATATATTTTTCAGGAGATGGAAGGTTTCGGAGAGCCCAGAGTTCAGAATGGGATTCAAGGCAATATTCAAATTAAAAACTTTTTTTACTTGATAAATGAAACCGTATTATTGAACTTAGCCGCGGAAACGTTTCAGAATAGAATTTTTCGATATTGGTAAGATATCCCTAGCATACCTTAGCNCCCCGTAAAAGTGAAAACTGGGATTTTCCAGGGTTGCAGAGATTCCCTCCTCCTAAGGGGCCCTGGACAAATTTCTGAATTGGTCCCTTCTGTTCAAAATTCCCACCAAAATGTTCGTAATTTCTGACAAATAATTCATAATTTTCACTTTTTTTATTGTACGATGCTGCAAACAAATTTCTAGAATTACTTTTATTAGTATCTGATAATAATAAAATAATTTTCATTTAATTGTAAACCGTAATTCAGTATTTTTTCAAAAAGAGCATTGATTATGTCCAATTCTTTAAAGGTTTAAATATCCCTACCAAAACAAGCCAACTCCCCCCCCCCACGATTTACGTAAAAGTTTATTAATTAGATCGACCCTCACCACCACTTTATACACTATACATATAACATATAAACAGTGTTTGTTTTATTCTTCATGACAGAAACAATTTATCTTAAAATATTCTTTAAAAAGCGAATATTTGCAAATTTTCTTTTTTCCATCTCATGATCTGAGTTCGGTTCCCTTTTGTCCATTTGACGGCCAAATTATTTTCAAATATTTTTTTTCTTTTTCTTGTGGTTGTTAACATTTTTTATTAACGATTTTGATGGTTATTATATCTTTTGATCTGACGAGGGTCAACCCAGACCGAAATGTATTTTCAATAAAATGTGGAACTAACAGCTACTTTTTTATTTTACAAAGGTTTCGTCCATCAACATCACCAAATTTAAAAAAAAAACAATTCTTTAAAGAAAAAGAACATTTTTGAGATGTCTTGTGTCAGATTTTATTAGTTATATAAAATAAACTTACTATGAAAATAATATATCTACGTAAAGTTTGTCACAGCTGATCTGACGGCATTCTGTCTGCTACACAGAGAAAGCTTGCAAAACAGTCTCTCATTGGTCGAATCAGAACCAACCCTGACTTGGGTTCTATCTAAGCCCGAGTTTGGGTTTTACTTGGGTTTAAGCTTTTAAAATCTCATCTCTGATTTCTGTGTTGAAAATACCGGCCTGATGCAGATGCCTCTAGGTTGTGTTAATTTATCAAGAAATATTTAGATCAATGTCTAGAAGTTAGGTTGAAATGGATAAAAAATGTAAATATGAAAACCAGGATTCCAAAAATGAATCGTAATGATGACGAATCCGATGAAAATTAAATTTCCACCCAAATGATTGATCTGCAGGTTGGATTGGATCAAGAAATATAAAAGTAAGGATTAATCGTCAATCATTAAACTGTTTTTCCCTTCTTTTAATATCATTGATTCTCCTTAAAGTTTAATTTTACGCAGAAATGACAATGTCAGATTCTAACCGGACTCCTTAAAAGCTTATCTTGATCAAGTATTAATTAGATATTCATGTTTTTGTTTCTTTAATTTTTAATTTTTAATTGAGGTTTCTTGCAAAAGTGACTCTTGCTTATAAGAAGAAATGGATAATTTTCAGAGTTAAACATTTTGTGATACAGAAAACAGACGGCATCAGGGTATTTTTGTAAATCGCAATCTTTGCGTGGAGGGTATCTTGAAGTCTATATAAAACCACAGAATGTCTTGTGGATGAATTGCGGTAGAAAGATAGAAAGATATCTAAACAAATAGATAGATCGTTCACGATTAAAATTATGAAAACAGTGTGAAGCTAGTTGTAAACCTACAGAAATATTTTTCATGTAAAACTAATTAGATATGTTTTAATATGCTTTGATATTTGTTGTGTACATGTCAGAAAATTACTTTAAACTCTAGTTATTCGAATTAATGTCTAAACTATTTTGTATAAGATAAATTCGCACCCTGATCTCTAATCGTTCTTCTTAAATCTATTTAATTGAAATGTTTTGTTATTATTACTAAAATTAGGTTGTAAAAATAATCAAAACAGCCAAGAGCTATTTTCCACCTAATTGCTTTATACTTGTACTGTTAATATAATCATCACTTTGTAATTGTAAACTCTATCTGTATACAGATACATTTATTTTAGCAATAAACTTTATCTTATCTTATCTTATCTAAACATGTAACTAACTATATAATCGTCATAAAAATTATTTTTATTCGGTTCAAGTGGGTTCTAGTATGTTGGCGTGTTTTATTGTGAATATATAGAGGGGAAGCGGGAGTATTTTAAATATCTTGTTCAACTGCATTATTCTATTAACAGCTTTCAGTTCGTGCATGTGAGGAGTTGGCTTGTTTAGGTCCTTGAATATAAGGTGGAACATGCATCAAACTAAATGAATAAGTAAATTCAACGAAAAATGTTATTCTTGTATGTTTACAATGATAACTCTTAAATTTAAATCTTGTATGTTTACAATGATAAGTTTTAAATTTAAATCTTGTATGTTTTCCATGATAACTCTTAAATTTAAATCTTTTATGTTTTCCTAAATAACTCTTAATTTAAAGAGTTATTGAGAATTTAAAAAACGTTGTAAAAAATTGATTATTTTCATTTTAAAATGTGAAAAGTTTTTGTGACAATAATTGTACTTTGTGACCTCGTAGCTCCTCTGGTTTTAACTTTTCGCACAAATATGAGAAAAGCTAATTTTTCCCGTTATATATTATAAATCCAAACAATTCTTCCAAATATCTCTTCAATAAGAGAAGTTATGATTAAAACATAAAAAAATTCAATCTTACTTAAAGGGACAGTAAATGAAAGGGGGTATAGGCTGAAAGCTAATCACTTTAGCTCTTGATCGCGACCCATGAAAGTCATATCTGATGTTCAGGTCTCGAGAAATTTATATAAAACTGTGTCAAATATATACGAAAATTAATATATATACAATTTTGTATAAAAGTAGTAGGTTTAAACAGATCATATTCAGCAAGTAAGCAACCAATCTGAAAACGATGATATCCCAGAGAAAGCTAATTGTAAATTAGGTTTACTTTGATATTTGTTATTTCTAATTTCAATAGATTTCATTCATAATATTATTTTTACGTCCGTATTACTTGACCAGAAATTCCACCAATGGCAGTGCAGTAAAATGGTCACGTGATACAGGCGGAGACACGTGACCAGTATACTTCTCTGCCATTGGTGATAGTTCTGGTCACGTGATTTAAGTTTCAGATTTTCAAAATTTTACATATATGAATTTTCGTATAATTTTAACACAGTTTTATATCAATTTCTCGAGACAGGAATATCAGATAAAACTTTCATGGGTCTCGATCAAGAGCTAAAGTGATTAGCTTCCAGCCTATACCCCCTTTCATTTTCCCTTTACTGTCCCTTTAATATACTTTATTTTAAAGTGAATCCTTTAAACACTTGTTGTACATTCTCAGTAATGTTTTCTCTCTAATTTATTCGTTAGAAATATCATGATTGTAAACAAGGAAGTTGAATATATAAAATTTAATTTCTTATTGATATGAATAGATGAATTTAATAATGAAGTGACAGTATAGTTCATTTCATTGGCCCTAGGAGGTTTATATGTCGGAATAAATAATCGATACAATACAATTTCACGACTTTATTGATACATCAAACCCCCATAATACAATACAATACAATATAATGCAGTATATATATATATATATATATTGTACACACAAACAGGCATTATTCAACATGTATATGCACTATGCACTTATACAAATGTAGAAATGAAAATGTGTCTCTCTCTCTCGGAATTTCTCTGCGAGAGACACCTAGCGGTAAAATAATTGTCCTTCAATTTACATAATTTATAAGAAAATAATAATTATTTACAACTACTTTACAGGGAAGTTAAGGGAATTTTATTTTACCAAGAGTTCCCAAGACCGATTTTGCTTACAAAACATCCAGAGCGCAGTGCAACGAATTTGGTTGAGGAAACCCGTGGTATAAGTAACATTTTTGATTTCCCAAAAAAGTAGTTGTACACAAATTTATCGTCTTTTGAAATGAAAATGCGCGAATTTTTATGAAAACTTCGCAGAGTGGGTGGTTATTTTACATAATTGTCCCATGACATGACATGTAAACTTTATAAAAATTACTCTACATTTAAAAAAAATCATATATTGTAATATTTAAATTTATTTACATTATTAACGGTTTGGAATAATGCAACAAAGTGAATTTACACGGGCTCTGCGTGCTCTTGGCTATTAGACGTTTTCAACCATTTTCTCCTTATTGATGCAGTAGTTAGAAGTAAAATTAGCAGCGATCAATTCCGCATAAATCACGGTTGACTCAAGGTTATAATGCAAGGAAAGTTACTTCAGAGTTGTACGCATCTTTTGTACTGCAGTGTACTGTCTCTGGGCGGTAATGTAATCACAAGACGGATGTCACAGCCTGACATGGGAACCATCTTGTACATAAAAAATCAATGAAATATTCTGGTCAAAGGAAACTATTATGTGAATTATCAAATTTATCAAAATTTAATGTTTTAACCTCCTCGGATACTAAACTAACACTGATGCATCTATTCTTGTTTACAAATTCCGCCCAGAGAAAACTGGTTTCAATATGTACGCAGAGTATATACGCAACTGCAATTAACTTTCCTTGCATTATAACCTTGGGTGGACTAAATTATGTTGTAAATTTACAACTTTTGCTTTTATTTTTCTTGGTACACACTGTAATCTCGCTATATTTCTATCTATGTATACTTGTGATATATTATTATGAGAATAACGCACGAAACTTCTGATATATGGTTAACGTGCGTAGTACGTGCATACGACGTTTCTTACCGTGCTCAATTCATAGAAACTTTTTCAATAAAACATGTGTAAAGTGCAGTGAGTGTCTGATTTCAAGGTTTAAATATAATACTTCATTTGTGTTGTGGTTTCCATGCACCCCTAACCCTTCTACCCCTTTCCCCTAAATATCTTTCCATTAAACGACTTTCCGCTAAAGCTTTTTCCCCTAAACCCATTTCCCCTCAACCCCTCACCTCTCAACCCCTTTCCTCTCAACCCCTTTCCCTCCAACCCCTTTCCTCTCAATCCCTTTTCCTTCAACCCCTTTCCCTTCAATCCCTTTCCTCTCAACCCCTTTCCTCTCAACCCCTTTCCCTTCAACCCCTTTCCTCTCAACCCCTTTCCCTTCAACCCCTTTTCCTTCAAACATTTTCCCCTCAACTCGTATTTTATTCTAAATTTCTTATATTTTATTCTACAGTTCTCTTCTATTCACTTTTTTATATGCTAAGAAAACTGTATCTCTTACTTTTTGCTGCTCCTTTTCTTTTATTCTTAATTCTACACCCCTTTTCCTCACTCCCCTTAACCCCTATTACTAATTCCTTCTGACCCCTCACACCCTCGTTCAAAACTATAAACCTTGTTATTCAGTTTCAAATCACGTGATAATTTCTGCTCAATTTAAATAAATCGCAGACATCTGAAATAGAATTGGCAAGAAGAATGGACCGAACTTAATTTATTCTCATAAAGCACCATCTAACCTTCCCCCCTCCCCCCCTCATCCCTACTTCTTCTCCACTCCATTCTTCTCAATTATCAAAATGATTGAATTGCAGAATACGAGCTCCATTTTATATTCTGATGTAAAAAAACGCGGGAGAGATGAAAAGAATATTGTTTGACGATGGTGTTCCATGCCGCGTTGATGTTTCCTTAACGATGTTGTTCTCTGTCTCGTTAACATTTCTCTGGAATCTATTTCCATAATTTTATACTTGAAGGAAGCAGGATGTTTGGTTTAACATAGGGCGGGTTGTGTATACTGTAGACTTATATACTGTATATCTTAACTCAGACTGATTTCACATTTCTAGATATGGTTCTTCTGCTTGATACCCTATCTGACATGTTGTAACCAGATCTATTTCTACATTTTCTGAGAACATTTTAAAGAGAAGTTATTGCAGTAGTTTTTTTTTCTTGGGAAACAAATTAAAATGAAAATGTAATAAAAAAAAACACAATTTTGTATAAATACTTTTCCGTTATTAATTTTAATATATGTATATTTGTTGACCAGCTTAAAACTTATAAATAAGGTTTTTTTTTGAATATTTGCAAATAAGGCATGAGGATTTCCATACCGGGGTGTCAAGTCGGAGCTGTATGCAGACTTTAGATAAAAGGATTTCTGCCAGCATTGATCAACTTGATACACTCAGGTAAACATTTCAGAAAACCTAATGAAAAAAAATTTCATGAAAAAGGCTTAATGCTATAAAAGTTCAATAAACTTAAAAAACCATGTAACATTGTCATTCTGATCAATAAACAGTTAGACCCGTAAAACTGAGTAAATCAGGCGTAAATTAGCAGCTTCCCCCCTTTTTTCCAACTTTTTAGCAAAGTTCAATAAACTTGAAAAAGCATAACTAGATTTACATGGATCGTAAAAAGGGGAAATGAGAGGCGGTATAGGCTGAAACCTAAGAACTTAAAGAGACTGTAAAGGAAAAATAAAAGGGGGAATAGACTGAAACCTAAGATACTTAGGAGTTTATCGAAACCCTTTATAAAAGTCACAAATCAATCACCCTTACTGTACATACAGTTGTCGTATTATATATCGACGACTTTAGATTTTAATTTTCTTTCTACCACGTGTTTACCCGGCATGGAACATATAAACTTGGAAACAAATAGAAGCTGTCAATTAATTATCAGTTTCTCTTTGTTTACATGTAAACTTGTAATTTGACAAAAAAAGTTTATTAGAAATAAAAACTGTTTATTAGAAATAAAAAACGTGATAGAAAAGTCGTCTTCATTGTGTTGAAATGAACGCCGACCAATTATATTAAGGAATTCCTAGTTTTCAAATAATTTTAAATTTTAGAGAACGGCGTGAGGCTCCACGATTTCGCTCTAGTCATAAAATATTCAGGAACCTCAAGAGCCTATACAAGATTAAACCTTTAACCCCAATTTTTCGATGTTATCCAATTTTATAGAATATTGCTGTGAACGAGTTATACACAACACTGCAAACCAAGACATTTTCATTTGTAAACGAAAAAGAACAGAATTTTGGCATTTAAAACTTGAGTAAGAAATATGCACTTTTTAGCTTGGAAATCTTCATATCCAAGGCTATATTAAAGTATAACTGGGTTGGCAAGGCTAAACTGAACCTTAAGCTGGTCCGGTCTTAATAGTTTATGCATAATTTCACAACTGATTCAATATATTGAATCTAGAATAGAATAGGACCAAACACGTTATTTTATGATAAATAGGTATGGATGGATGTCTTTACAAATCTCATTATTATCACTTCCCTTTGATCTTCTATACTGAGGCAAATTTCATATTCACAATGATAAATGCAAAATTTAATTTACTTTTTTAAACATACCCTCGAGGCAGGGAGGAGACTGATATAAATCAAAACGATGTCGTCTTCAAATATAAAGGAGAAAATTACTCGAAAAATCAATATTTTTTCGGAGACTCCAAGAAGCAGGAAAAGGTAACATGTTTAAAATATTTAATGAAAATAAAAATATCTTCTATATATAAAGTAGTAATCTCTGTTTTTTTGTTTGTTTGGATGTCTGATCATAACTCATAAACCCCTTAACCGATTGTTGATTGGGGAATTTACTTAGTTTGGTTTTGAGATTCTAAGTTGAGTGGGTCGACTTTTATAGGGAAAATTAGCTAAAATCGTAATGTAAGACCAATCGCAGGTAAACGGCGGGAGTAACTATGAGTAGTAACCTGGGCAAGGCTGGGTTCCCAAGCAAGTATTCAACAACAAATTGTAATTTCAGGAGACTCGAAAAACCCCCTTTGAGATGTTTTTGGAGGACGATGGACCTTATTCTAGGAAACTTTTTGGACCTGTACCCTCTTCAGTACCAAACCTTAGTGTTAGTCATACTAAAGGGGTAAGGAAAGTAAAGAATGAGGGGGGAAAGGAAGTGAGAGAAAGGTAAAAATAAGGGGAGGAGGAAGGGCAAATATTATAGTGGAAAGGGGAAGGGGGAGGAGGGGTGTAGAGGAATTATTGCAAACTGTTCTATAAAACTAAACATTTTTCTCACAGTACACGGTACACGCCTCCATAACTAATCTTTATTTCAGAACGATTTGTCATGAAAAATTTAATCAACAGGACAAGAGATTCCAGGAAACCAATTCAACTAATCTATCAATAAAAAACAGGGGTTTATATATACTAGAAATATATAGTATATACAACTTTTCTGCGTGAAAATTGCCGGGGAAAAATTGTTTTTATAGAATTAAAAATAAACACCTTAAAATTTTAATTCAGAACAATATGAAAACAGCAAACTCGCTAAACAAAGAAGTAAAACAAACAAATTATATTTAAAGGGAGATCAGGAGTCGTCAATTTTAAATTTTTCTGAAACATTTTTGCTCGAAAACCGCTACGAATTCAATTTAAACAAATGTTGCACATACTTCAACATACAGGGTGTCCCAATAAACATGGGAATTCAGTGACGAATTGGATATTGTCTTTGTTATAAATTAGCATTGCAATACCTAATTTGTAAAAACATGAATATTATTATGTCTGCTAGAGTTTATTTTATGAAAAGGGTTAAAGACTGCAAAGATGTGTCTATAATGTCTCCGCAAGATGAACAGTGAAGACGGACAAGTTTACTCTGTTTGTATACTGTAATTTTCTTGTTTTACTAAGTACAACCGTTTGCAGTCAAAACAAAAACAAACAAATTGTAAACATAGCAGACGAAACTCTTACGGATTACGTTTTCTCAGTAGGTATCACTATACTTAATCAAAGAATTATTTAAAAAGACGATATCGAATTCGTCACTGAATTCTCATGTTTATTGGGACATCCTATTGTAACATACAGGGTGTCCCACGAAACATGACAGTTGGTGAATAGTTTTGAAGGTCTTCTTCCTTAAACTATATTAACAACAGTCATTTTGCAGTTTATTTCTTGTAAAAAATCTTTAACTCAAATATAGTTCACTATGAAATCAATTTTCATATAATATTTTTTATCATTAAACAACCTAACAAATTATGGAAGAAGGCATTTTTAACTATTCCTGGTCAAAATTGACTAGTTCGGTCCATATCTTTGAAACTTGATGGTGGAGGCATTTTAAACTCAGGCTCACTTGATCTATCAAAATTTCTAATTTGAAACATCAAATGTTTTACAACATTGAGTTGTAAAGATATGGGGATTGGAAAACCAGAGTTTGTGGCAAAACTTAATTCCTATTTTCAAATGGAGGTTTCCATGTAATGTAAAATTGGCTCGCGATTTTGTGCTACAGAAACAATGAAGGAAATTGAGAGCAATTAACCACTTTTAAAGGGAACAATTGTGATACAGACTCGGGCATAACTTTCTGTTAATGGGAGGTTACTTGAAATTTCAATGACAGTCCCTTTAAACAAAGCGTCACTTCCCTTTCCAGTAACTTTTTAGTTCCTTTAAAAGGTTTGATTTAGATTAGTTTATGCAAGATTAAGAACGGTTTTTAAATTGAAGAAATAAATGCAATGCTTTATCATGTTTAACCATTCGGAAAATAGAAAGGGAATGTTTCTGAGTTTGAATGGAGTCATGATTTTAAATTTGATATTCTAATTTCTGTAAAAAAAATTCCAAAATTTATAGATATTATGGCGCAAACTCATATTTGGATTGAATTGGCTGAAAACAGGGACGAAGACGAGGAAAGAGGACGGGAGGACAAAATTATTGAGGACAGGGTAGGACGTGATGAAAGGGTGGGACAGGACAGGGTAGGACGTGATGAAAGGGTAGGACAGGACAGGATTGGACGTGATGAAAGGGTGGGACAGGAGGAGAGAGTGGGTGTGTCAGATCCTCAGCAAGCTGTAAGGAAGGGCGTTCTATGGCAGCAAAGAGATAGACTGTTCTCAAGGTGGAAGGTAAACACAGAACAATTAACAATTCTAACAAGATTTAAAGGGACTGTTCTACGTAATTTTATGTAGTTAAAGAGCTACAAGATCCCAAACCCTTTGTAATGGAGACTTTCTTGTGTTTTTTCTTTCTAAAAATTGATAGATTTTCATTATGGTTTCTTCTTGGCAGTGATTTCCTACACCATGTTCATCTTTGTTATAGAAAACAAAGGACCATTGTGAATCGAGAATGGAATAATTATTCATTGTAAATTAGGCCAACAATCCCTTTATTTAAGTTGAAAAATAGTTGACAGAATTAAACAGAATAAAACTTTATTGCATTTAGTCTCACCTTGACTTTCTTCTTTTTCGGCCATTTTATATATCTAATAATTATTGATTTCTCAAATATCTTTCTCGTTTTTAGATGGGAGGGGGGTATTTTAACCTAACGAAGCTGGCATATCCATCCTCTTCTTGGGTCGTGAAAGATGACGTCAACCAATTTTATATTTTATTTTTAATCTTACAAAACAAACTAACAAAGACTAAAAATAATAAAAAATAATGTTAAGGAATGTAACCGACAAGAATTAAGATAATTACTATTTAATTGTAAAACTACATTGTCATTTTAATATTTACTATTCATAATCGATTTATAATTTGTTCTGATATCTCAGTCTAGTCTCAACATTATGCATGTTCTAAACAAGGGAAAATCTTTCGAATCTTAAACATAAGGTTTTTATGTGGAATTTCGTTAAACAGAATTGCTCGGAATTGTGCTCGATTTGCGCGGAGTTGTGCAAGAATTGCGCATAATTTATCCTTACAGACGTAGGGTATCTAGTCTAGATTCCATTAGTTTTAAAGTTTTTTTTTCTGTTTGGCATAGAATCAAGGAAAATTAAGTAAGATTAAACAATATTACTAGGCTTTGTTTGATGGATTTTAAATGACAGCTCATAATGGGACTGGGTTTTTTCATAGATAAAGATAGATTGCGCATAAGACGACATTTTTCATCTTGAAAGATATAAATGTAACAGAGACGTTTTAAAGATATTCCTATTATATAGATTAACTAGGTCGGTTGTGAACATTGGCTGTTCTTATGTCATTGAGTACTTGTGGTGTAAATGAGTTCTGTAGAGAGAAATTTAAATTAATTTACTTCTTCTCATGTCCTTCTTCAGTTCTCGTCAATGTGATATATTGCTCAGTAAAATATTGTTGTTCAAATAGTTCCATTCCCGGAGTTATTTTACACTCTATTATGAAATCCATTAAAACACCAAACCACCCCCCTTATCATTGAAGTACACTTTGACCCCTAGAAGTATGAGTTCGCGGACTGAATTCTTGTTGATTTTGCGTACATATGCTATCTATGTTTATTTATTTATCTATGGTTTGTTTATATGAATATTCCAGAAAAACTTAGCACTATCAAGAGATCTGAGTTCTGACAACCTCAAGTCATCTTATACATATATCTTTGCAGCCTGATGGTGTGAACATTTATATTTCAAACTTAGACTTTTTGATCTATTTAAACAGAATTCATAGCTTTATTAAAGGTATTTGACACCAGATTGCAAAGATACAGGGATTTAGAAAATGAGAGTTTGTTGCAAGAATTCAGTTCTCTCCCTAATCTAAATTATTCTATTTTATCTTACTTCAGGAGAGATATATTGTCCTTACCAGGGATTATCTGCATTGTTTTAAACGAGTCACAAACAGATCATCAGAAATGGGAGATTTTATTTTCAAGGTAGGTTTATTCTATCCAAGATGTTTTTATGATATCTGATTTTTTACTACAGAGCTTTCCATATGAATCGTTAAAAACGGACAGACGCACAAGGGTTTCCAGCGAAAAGGAAAAATTTCGCTACATTCTGCATTTCGCTTTTTCGCGAAATTTCGCTTCAATTTGTTTCGCGAAAAAAAGCAATAGGAGACATGAGACAATTCATAGATTTGCTTCAAAATACTTTCTTGACCGTTAAGATCTTTCCTATTAAAAAAAAAACAAAAATAAAATCTACTACGGGAAGACCCAAAATAATTCGGAATATTTTGAATTCACCCTGCTTAATAACTATCCATACTTCCAAGATACGTTATAAAATTTTCGCATTTCGCTAAAATATTTTCCCATTTCGCATTTTCGCGAAATTTCGCTTAGTTTTCTCTTCATTTATTTTCGCCAAAAGTTTGTGAAATGCGACCGAAAATTTTCGCCTTTTTTCGCGAAACGTTTCGTTCGCTGGAAACCCTACTGAGTGAAGCCAAATTTTTATACAGATGATTTTGTCTAGTTCTTTTTAAAAATATGTGCAACATGATAATCTGCGGATACTAAATATACAGTCAAAGAGAATAGAATATATATTAGAGTGGAATTTAGACAATCCCTCGATTCAGTTAGTCTCTTTCAGCCTGAAAGGGAGATCAAAGTGTACAAATCATGTAAATGTTCACAAATTATATGCAGTGGAGTGCATTAATTAATACAGTATGTTTCCTAGACTATCTATTTCAATTTCGTTTTTTTTTAAGCTGTTAAACAAACTTTATAAAATGAATTAGGTGAATAAAAACATCATTTGATTTATATTTATAACGGAAAATCATCGTTTGTAAAGTGAAAGGCATAGAGTCTATGTGAAATGATCATTGGTCAATTATGAAACCAGCCTATTTCATAATTTGGTTTTCTTTTAACAATAATTTTAGATTTTCTATAAAATGATATTCCAGGGCCTAAAAGGTTATGTAGCACAAATATGTGAAGTACACCTGCAGCATGAAAACAGTACAACAAAATGGCCGTTTTACACTTTTTTCCAGTAAATTCCACTCTAATATATATTCTATTCTCTTTGGATACAGTACTACCTACAAAGGATGAGCTGAACCGTCCGCCTCTAAAGTCTCATCCTTTGTGGGTAAAACTGTATGTGACACTCCTTTACAGAATGTTCCAAAAAAACATGGGGATTAAATGGAAACTTAAAAATCGTCGTTGTTTAGAATTTGAAATGCAATATCAGACTTAACCCTATTCCTGCTGGGGGGGGGGTCAAATAACTCAAAAAGTAAAATAACTCAACTCAATAAGTCAAATAACTCAAAAAGTATTGGTCTGAGGCTGTTGAAATTTTCTGACTTTTCCTACATTCCCAAAGCCCTCCATTTAGGCCTAAAACCGGGCTTTAATACTAACTGCCTGAGTCCTCAGGCACACTGCCTGAATGACTGCTTTTTCCTGTAACAAACTAAATCTTTGTTTTGACCCACTTCCACTTGTCAGATTTTGATAAGATTTAGCTTTTTGGAAAGCCTTTGACATAAGGAAACAAATTGCACAAGTTTTGCGAAAATAAATTGCAAATTTTTTGCAAACAACCTGTCAAAGGAAATTTGCACATTTTTAGTTTTTCTTGATTAAAAATTAGGTTATTTAAACTTTTGCAAAAAATTTTGCATATTTGAAATGGCATGGTCAAGGGCTTTTCAAAAATGTATAATTTTTCATTTTTTGGACAAATTTTTTTTTGCAAACATTTTTACTATATAACTGGATTTTTTTTTGGGGGGGGGGTCAAATTGACCCCCCCCCAGCATATCCTGGTTTTCAAGTACCCCAGCAGAGATAGGGTTAAAAAAGCATTATATATATAAAATCACGTTTCCTAGATTATATTTTTTGGAAATGATGTGATATGATGTTGTTCCTGCGATTTTATTTCTGAAAAATGAACAGTGTTATCCACATGGGATGAGACTGTAAAGACGACTTAAAGCTCTTATAATAAATTTAGTTTTTTAATGGCTTATTTAATGGTTTGGCAAAGAAAGAACAAAATTCACAGTTGTAGAGAAGCGTAAATATAAAGAAACTGCGGACAGTTTAAATTCCACTCAATCGTCTCTGAAGTCTCACTCTTGATGGGTAACATTGTAAATAAAAAACCGTTTAAAAAAGACAACATTGAACTATTCAATTTAGATTCTAACATTTTTTAATATAAAGTTTTTGCCTGATTAGTGAAAATATTGCAGGTGAAATTGGTCCAGCTAGAGGGGGTCACACTCATAGATAAACGTGGTTATCTCACAGTGTGCTTGTGTATACTAAGGTAGAAAAAAATCTTTTTTTTATTTTTCATAAAAAAACTCTGATCAGAAATCTAAACTTTTGTGTGCAATTTTTTAATTTTAAATTCGTCATCTTGATATCCAATGTGGGCGCTTTTGAATTTGATACTTGATTCCTTAATTCAAGTTATCCCTGCAGGATATGACCATCGCCGGATATCTAAGATGAATTAAATTTTTCCGTAAATCTGAATGAAAATGGAGATTATTGCTTAATCCTGAGATCACACAACACAAAAATTTTTATTTCAGGTTCTTTATGATATGAATTTGACCAACAGAAAACAACATTTTATATATTTTAAATAAAAAAGATCTCAATGATATTTTTCCACATTTTTCCATTACAAAACTAAAGTTTTCTTTCCCTCTCTTAAAAAAAGCAATAATTAGGCTAAAAAGGTTCGATTGTTACGTGTCCAACTTTTCAAAATGTTGAGACTCCCCCCCCCTCCCCAAGACGAGTCCTGACGACAAAAAATTTAATTCAGGGAGGGGCGAATCTATTTGCGAAGTGCACATGGTATAAGAGATTGGTTTCAGGCCATACAGGTAATGGTCCTTTTTAAACTACTTTATACTTGTGTGGTATAGGGAGGGGCAAAGTTAAAGGGGTAAAAAATTAGCATGTCCGATTCACAACGGTCCTCTTTATAAACCTTGGTTTGGCAAGAATTAATGAGCTACTGATCTTTTTAATTTAATTTTAATCGTGGGTTTTCTTATTGCAGATTTATTGTGCAGAAACGAAAAATAAGGTTGCTAAAAAACGACGATTTCTTCCATATTGTTGATCTCATAAAGGTGTCATGGCTTATTTAATGATTTGTCAAAGAAAGGAAACAAGTTTAGATTAGCAAAGAAAACAGACAGTATGAATTCCGTCCAGTCTTCTCTGAAGTCTCACCCGTTGTGGGTAGTTGCCTGTATAATTTGTAATCTTATTTAAATAGTATCGCATCCTGTCTTAAGATATAAATAGTCGGTTATTAAGAGTTAATAACTGGAAATTATCTTCCTTCCCTTAATCTCCTTAATTTCCTAAATCTCTGTAACCTACTTCCTTTGACATGATCTCGATTCATCACCCTTTTCTTCTTCGATATTTAGATCCAACCTATTATAGATCTCTAAGACCCAATGGGAACCAAATTTCCTCATTTTTCAATTATGTAATGCTTTTTTACCCAAACCTAATCCAAGGGAATCTATGTAAGAAAGTCCCGGGAAAAAAAGTTTCTGGAAAAAACCTGGAAATAAAAACTTTGGAAAAAAGTCGGAATTTTCTAAAGTCCTTGGAAAAAAAGTCACTGAAAATAAAGTCCTGTGTTTTGGGACTTTTTAGTGTTAGGACTTTTTTCCGGAAACTTTTTTCCAAGGACTTTTTTGGCGGTTACCAATCCAAGGTGACCTTTTCTCGGACCATAACAGCTGAGTGTTAAGTTTTTTTCGATGTCAACAAAGATAAGATCCGTTCCATTATAGATCTCTAAGAACCAATATGAACTGAAATATCCAGAATATTACGTAGATTATTGCGCAGAATATTCCGCGACATTTTGCTTCGCAATTTGTGGCGAGTAACAAGTTACCAACATTGTGAATCGAGCATGCCACTTTTTAAATAAACTTAAAGGGATTGTAGACGTTATTTCAAGTGGACCCCCCATTTGCAAAGTGACGTGTTCGATTCACAATCTTTTAAACCTTACACTAATCCAGATTTTGAATTAAAAACGAATTAATATTTAATATTTACGCCATGATCCCCAAACATTAGAATTTTAAAAGCAAAAATTTAAGAAAAAAAAAATTGGTAAAGCAAATTCATCTCTCTAGCTTGGGAACCCAGCATTGTCTGGAAATTAAACTTTCTAAAAGTCAACCAACTTAACTTATAATTGTTAAACCAAGCAGTAAAACCCTGTGGTTCTAGCGAATTTACCAATCAATATTTAATTGAGATCGATCAAGGATCAAGTTTTGATCAGACATAGATTAATACTTTATGTAAATAGATTATGTGGAATCCTACAAAACAATAAGATGGGGAAGAGGATAAATAGATATTTACAATACACACCAAATTTAAAACTTTTAATATCATTTCTATCCCACCCCCCCTCTCTTGCCCCTTCACATACATATTCACCATATGTTGGGGGCTGACCTCGAAACAGTAATTTAGTGATTCATTGATTTCGTAATCGTGAATATTCTCATTTTAGAGTATTCTCTGTAAACATGTAATAAAACCTTATTTAAACTCATACAGTGAGGGTCAGAATACACTGGGTTAGAAAGACGACATTAACTAATGCATTTTGTAGAAAATTTAATCAGTTTACAATTTACACTGTACACAGAGCAAATGGGCAACATTTTAGTTAATTAAACATGAATGTGATTTAAAGAAATTGAAATTTCGCCATTTTTTTTGTTTGTTTTATTTTTTGGTTTATTTCAGGGGTTGGGGCCAGTGGTTGAGATGTCCATGAAAGATGGAAAATTACAAAATATTATAGAACAATTGCAAGTTTGAAGGAAAGGAAATGAGATCGTACAGGGGGCCGGGGTGTAATGAGCCTGGGGAAATGTTTCCCCTCCCCATCCTCACATTCCCCCCCCCCCGTAGTAATTAGTAAACCGGATCCGGATTGAATGACAATGGTATGTTGACAGGAAGCCAAATTAAATCCGTCAATTCATCTTCTGACTTGAACATTTTTTTCCCTCAGAATTGTAAACTGAATAGTTGGAGAAAACAATGGTGCTATGAAAACCGAGCTACCAAGTATCCGAACTATTCCTCGAGTCGCTCTAAGAAAAAAAATACATTGTCACATGGTTGTTTTAGGTCAGAAACCCCATTGTTCAGAAAACCCATAGGTCAGAAAACCCATAACTCAGAAAACCTTTAAGTCAGAAAACTCTTAAGTCATGAAAACCTTAGGTCAGAATCCCCGTAGGTCTGTTTTCCTAGGTTGGACATGATCAAGGGTACTAAAACAATACACACGCTTTGGAACAAGTTAAAGAATGTTACGGATTAAATTCAAAATAATTGGTTTTAATTAGTATGTCCTGAGTCGGAATTTAATGAATTTGAGCCGCGTCTCAAATCCGCCAAAACCCGGTTTCAATTGAACGCCGGCTTAACTTTAACTTTAAAAACTCTCTTCTCATTAAGTTAAAGATATGCTGTTTCTTTTTAGAGCACAGTGTATGACAGCAAACGAAGACGGAAATTCTGGGTAAAAGATCCAGGTATCTTTTTAAAACATAATGTATCTATCTATCTTCGTTACTAAATTGTCCTTTGCAAACAATTCTTGCCAAAAATTGTCACTACAATGTTAGCATATATTAGCTAAAATTCGCTAGTCAAACGCAAATTTATATTTTCATAAACATGTCTAAATGATGCACAAAAGTTGTAAAGAACTTGAGTCTTTACATAAACTCAAATGTATAATTCCTATATTTTTGCAACCTAATGGTGGAAATATTTAATATTTCAAACTTAGACTGTTTGGTCTAAGAGGATTCAACGGTTGTGCAATAATAAAGGGTTTAGAAAATCAGAATTTGTAGAAAATACTTAGTTTATTTTACTTTTTAAAAATATTTTTGTTCAGCAATACCACCAGGCTGCACGCCTTGTAGTCTTTGGACAGAGAAGAAAGAAGTTCATGAAAAGAGGTAATTGATTGATTGATTGATTGATTGACTGATTTATGGATTGACTAATTTATTGATTGATTGATTGACTGATTGGTTGATTGATTGATTGATTTATTGATTTATTAATTTATTTGCAAATTACAAATTCGATTAATTGGTTTATGGCAAATTGAAAAATACAATAATAGAATAGTAGAATAATAGAATAATAGAATAATAGAATAATAGAATAATAGAATAATAGAATCATAGAAAAATAGAATGATAGAATAATAGAATAATAGAATAATAGAATAATAGAATAATAGAATAATAGAATAATAGAATAATAGAATAATAGAATAATAGAATCATAGAAAAATAGAATGATATAATAATGGAATAATAGATTAATAGAATAATTGAATAATAGAATAATAAAATAATAGAATAGCAGAATAAGAGAATAATAGAATAAGAGAATAAGAGAACAAGAGAACAAGAGAATAATGTAATAATAAAATAAGATAAGAAGAGAATAATAGAATAATAGAATAAAAGAATAAGAGAATAAGAGAACAAGAGAATAATAGTATAAGAGAATAATAGAAAAATTTAATAATAGAATAAGAGAATAATAGAAAAGTAGAATAACAGAATAATAGTATAATCTAATAATAGAATAAAAGAATAAGAGAATAATAGAATAATAGAGTAATAGAATAATAGAAAAATAGAATAAGAGAATAAGAGAAAAATAGAAGAAGAGAATAATATAACAATAGTATAATCTAATAATCTAATAATAGAATAATAGACAAATAGAATAAGAGAATAAGAGAATAACAGTATAATATAATGATAGAATAATAGAATAATATAATAATAGAATAATAGAATAATACAATAATAGTATAATCTAATAATAGAATAATAGAATGATATAATAATGGAATAATAGAATAATAGAATAATAGAATAATAGTGTGGAAGACGATGCCTGGCCGCGTTAAACAAGTTCCACAAGATTCAACAGAATGAGATAGAACAGATACTGATAAACATCTACACGTGTGATATCGATATTGACTCTAGTTCTGAACCCTCTAGTAATAAGTTATAAGAAATATATATACTGGAAGTTATTTATGCGTTTTTATTAGAGTCTGACTCACGTTCTCTATAATAGAATAATAGAATGATATAATAATGGAATAATAGAATAACAGAATAATAGAATAATAGAATAATAGAATAATAGAATAATAGAATAATTGTTTTGTGTTTCGTTCTGTGATTTATAACCACATAGCTGTTTTGTGTTTCGTTCTGTGATTTATAACCTCATAGCTGTGTTGTTTGAGAAAAACTATTTCTCATTGTCCTATATATACAGGGTTACCCACAAAAAATGACTTAGTGATTTTTCGAAGAGCAAAACAAGTGTACACTACAATTGTAATAGCAAAGACCTATTACATTCCGAAGTCGTTTTTGAATTCTCATCCTTTCTGGGTTTCTGTTTATCCCAAAATAATCATACCCACAAAAAGTCCTTAAAAGGCTGTGCATGGATGACCAATGTATGTATATATAAAGTTGTAATCTCTGTTTGTCTGTCCGATCATAACTTAGAAACCCTTTGACAGATTTGCCCAAAATTTTGATTGGGGAACTCGGAAGACCCACAGGAATGTTCTTTTCTTGGTTTCGAATTTTTAAATTAAGTGGGTAAACGACGGGACTAATTATGACTACCCTGGGCAACGATGGGTTCCCAAGCTAGTAGTTTATATTCTAACTAGCTTGGGAATCCAGCGATGCCCAGGTAACTAAAACTTGAACGATTTTACCGGAAACTAAATTTTCGCTATTAAAGCCGAACCACTCCACTTAGAATCTCAAACCCAGGCTAAGACAGACAGACAAACAGAGATTACAACTGTATATATATATAGATACTTACAGACGCAGCGCAACATCATGTAAAAATGGTCTTAAAAATTTTAATGAAATCGGTCGGAACTTTTGTATATACTGATCTAAAACTACAAAACTTTAAATCTATTTCGGAAACTTCGACCAAGTGCTTCTTTAGTTCCAACCTAAGATAATTCTTCAGATTCGCAAAATCTAACATCATTCATCATTTTTATTTAAGTGGTGACTGATCTCCTGATGAGCGAGGCTATAACCTCAATTACAAGAAAGGATTTGGAGGATTCCGGTCATGATTCGGGTCAGAGTAGTCTTAATACAGGTAGATAATAATACTTTGAATAGTCTTAATACAGGTAGATAATAATACTTTGAGTAGTCTTAATACAGGTAGATGATAATGCTTTAAGTAGTCTTAATATAGGTAAATAATAATACTTTGAGTAGTCTTAATACATGTAGATAACATTTCTTTGAGTAGTCTTAATACAAGTAGATAATAATACTTGGAGTAGTCTTAATACAGGTAGGTAATAATACTTGGAGTAGTCTTAATACCAGTAGATAATAATACTTTGATTAGTCTTAATACAGGTAGATAATAATACTTTAAGTAGTCTTAATACAGGAAGATAATAATGTTTTAAGTAGTCTTAATACAGGTAGATAATAATACTTTGAGTAGTCTTAATACATGTAGATAAGAATTCTTTGAGTAGTCTTAATACAAGTAGATAATAATACTTGGAGTAGTCTCAATACAGGTAGATAATAATACTTGGAGTGGTCTCAATACAGGTAGATAATAATACTTGGAGTAGTCTCAATACAGGTAGATAATAATACTTGGAGTGGTCTCAATACAGGTAGATAATAATACTTGGAGTAGTCTCAATACAGGTAGATAATAATACTTGGAGTAGTCTTAATACAAGTAGATAATAATACTTTGAGTAGTCTTAATACAGGTAAATAATAATACTTTGAGTAGTCTTAATACAGGTAGATAATAGTACTTTGAGTAGTATTAATACATGTAGATAACAATTCTTTGAGTGGTCTTAGTACAAGTAGTTAATAATACTTGGAGTAGTCTTAATACAGGTAGATAATAATACTTGGAGTAGTCTTAATACAGGTAGATAGTCTTAATCTTAAGGGACTATACAGTTAGAGAGTATAAGCAGCTGTCCAATTCATAGCAGTACCTTTATATCTTTAGACTGATCGAGTCGGAGTTTATAATTGATATATATATATATAAATATTGCTATCATAAATATACCATGAAATATTTTCTGGGAGTCAAAAAAATAAGTACTTTTATTTAAATATTCAAAAACTGCATTGAACATAGAGTAATTGCGATTCACAAGAAATGTGCAATGTCAGCTGCGTGAGTTCATCTGTTAAACCATTAAATGATACCGTGAATCGGACATACCACTCTTTAGAGGGTCACTTAACATTTCCCCCACAGTCCCTTTGATACAGATTAAAACATCATTAAAATTATGTTTTACTAAAATTATCCTTTTCAATCAGCATAATTAACTACTTTTCCAATCAAAATTTGCATAATTAACTACTTTTCAATCAAAATTTGCATAATTAACTACTTTTCAATCAAAATTTGCATAATTAACTACTTTTCAATCAAAATTGTCATTAGTTTTTGATTTAAGACTAAGAAGTTCAGCAGCGAATCTAAAATCCATGCATGCTGTTCGACATTGATATATTTCTATCATGGTATGCGGCATGTTAAAGTTTGGTTCTATACACACGCGAATTTATGTCGAGACTTGGAGACAGTATAGATCATTCTATTTATTGGCACGCGCAAATTTTGTCTGCGATATTTTGCTCTGTGCACAATACACGTTCATTTAACCCTATGCCTCCTTACTCATCAACTGAGTTTAGTGGAGGGGGGGGGGGTCCTCCTTGTTTCTCTCTTAAATGTATAACTGGTTAGGTTTCGTGATTTTTAAAACTATTATTTTTCCATACAAGAAGTTGAGATTTGAGAACTTGAAAGGAAGGAATACAATTTAGCCCTTTCTAATTATTTTTCAGTGTTTCTTTTTGCAATACTATGACACACAATTAATATTTTTATTAACAATTGTTTTCTCCCTTTTATTCCTCGGAGGAATTTAAGATTTCAAGAGAGACGTGTGAAATATAAACGAATGATTTGTATCTATTTATGACATAGATAAAAAAATTTGAAATATTATACATAGTTATTTATTTCGCCACCTTTGAGCATCAAAAATTTAAATTGTGTCTTTGAGCTTTCCATGGTTAATCCTTACCAAAACCTAGCCGCAGTATACTTTTTGCAGCCCTGGATATGAAATTTTTTGTTTTTACCCATATCCTTAACGCGGTTTACGTTAATATTAGTTTTAAACTTCTATCTATGAAATTTTCAATAATTTTCAACAAATTTTTCTAAAAATTTATATTTTTTTAGAAAGTTCTAGTGTGTGATTTATAACCACATAGCTGTTTTGTGTTTCGTTCTGTGATTTATAACCTCATAGCTGTTTTGTGTTTCGTTCTGTGATTTATAACCTCATAGCTGTTTTGTGTTTCGTTCTGTGATTTATAACCACATAGCTGTTTTGTGTTTCGTTCTGTGATTTATAACCACATAGCTGTTTTGTGTTTCGTTCTGTGATTTATAACCTCATAGCTGTGTTGTTTGAGAAAAACTAAATAAATTTTAAACTGAGCAGGTTTTTTTTAGAAAACGAGACAAAAAAGATTTCAAGAAGCGGAATACTTATGGAAACATTCACATCCTCCAGAGTTTGATAAATACAGGGTTAACCACAAGGAATGAGACTTTAGAGACGACTTTACGGAATTCATCCAGTCTTTTTTCTTTCATGGTTCCCTGCAGTTGTTTCTAGCTGTGCCAAATCAATTATTTTGTCATTTTTTAACCACATTGAAGCTTTGTTCAGCCTTCCGGTCATTTATACACGACATTGAAGCCTTGTTCAGCCTTCCTGTCATTTATAAACCACATTGAAGCCTTGTTCAGCCTTCCGGTCATTTATAAACCATATTGAAGCCTTGTTCAGCCTTCCGGTCATTTATACACCACATTGAAGCCATGTTCAGCCTTCCGGTCATTTATACACCACATTGAAGCCTTCCGGTCATTTATAAACCACATTGAAGCCTTGTTCAGCCTTCCGGTCATTCATAAACCACATTGAAGCCTTGTTAGCCTTCCGGTCATTTATAAACCACATTGAAACCATGTTCAGCCTTCCGGTCATTCATAAACCACATTGAAGCCTTGTTCAGCCTTCCGGTCATTTATAAACCACATTGAAGCCATATTTAGCCTTCCGGTCATTTATAAACCACATTGAAGCCATGTTCAGCCTTCCGGTCATTTATAAACCACAGTGAAGCCTTGTTCAGCCTTCCGGTCATTTATAACCCACATTGAAGCCTTGTTCAGCCTTCCGGTCATTTATAAACCACATTAAGCCATGTTCAGCCTTCCGGTCATTTATAAACCACAGTGAAGCCTTGTTCAGCCTTCCTGTCATTTATAAACCACATTGAAGCCTTGTTCAGCCTTCCTGTCATTTATAAACCACATTGAAGCCATGTTCAGCCTTCCGGTCCTCCTTAAAGTCTTATCCATTGTGGGTAACCCTGTACCATTAAAATAGATTAAAGGATGAGATTTTAGAGACGACCGTAGGGAATATTTTATTACATTTATCGTTTCCTGAAGCTGTAAAATTTGTCTTTTACTCCCCTAAATAATTATTCTTTCATTTGAAAGTCCACAAGTCGTCGTTAGAATCTCTTCCTTTGTTGACAACCCTGTATGAAAATGCATTATTGATTAGATGCATAAAATCAGTCATTTTCAATTTTTTTAAAGCGTTTTTTGACCAGGCAAATACATATATTGAATATAGTTTATCTTTGTACATTTGAAAAATAAGAAAGAATATGAATAAACTATAATATATTTGATTAAAAGAAAGTAGATAGTTTGAATTTATGATTGAAATATTCAGATAGTTTAAGTGAAGGTTTATGAATAAGGGGAAACGTTTTAAGTTTTTTTGTACCAGAACATCATTTTACCTATCAAAAATCGGAAATATGTAAAACCAGGAGGAGGGGGCAAGGAGAGAGTACCCCGCCCTAGACCTCGATTCTTATACGCCCCTGAAGACGCTTTAAAAAGAGTTGAAGAAACCTTGTCCTCCTGTGTTGTCAAGATTTAGTTTATTCTTGGAAATCCGGGAACAATAGAATTTGAATACATGGAAGTTGGACTGTACAGTGTACAGTGCAGCATGAGAAATTGCGCGTTTTCTTGGAATAAAGTTTTATATGTTTTAACGTCAAGTCAATGTCAATGTCAATCCAAAAACCTGATTGTAAGTAAAGCAAGACTGTTGCGAATTAGACTCTATCAACGGAACCTGGCTTGGAATTACATATACATTCTCTGTAAGAGAAGTTGTAAGATCATTTTTCATTTTTACAGAATTTGTTAATGAAATTTGTTAAAACAAACATTAATGATGATAATGAATGATTATAAAAACATTAGAAAGGAAGTGATCGAAAAACTTATAAACTTTCCAGTTTTAATAATGATGATGATGATGATGATGAAATTTCGGGATCAAATCTTAATCTTAAAATATGAACTTGGTCAACTCCCTTAATACCCAAGGTCTGCAAAGAGGCCTTAAAAAAAGCATCAATTTCAATGTTCTAAAAATTGCAATTTTTCAATAATATTCTAAAGCAATTGATGTATTACTTTTAATGCGTAGGCCTATATAAGTAATCTTGATTTTAAAATCCAAATAGAAAAGTGTTTTATTCTTGATATTGATTACTTCTTAATAAGCAAGAAATGCGCAAGTCACTTTCGCAGAGAAACTGCCAATGAAAATAAACAAATATACAAAATAATTCATACTTGATCACAAACAGTTTTTAAGGATACCTTTATAATTCAGATAGTGCCATCTTGGTTTGGTCGCAGGGCCACTTGAAAATTAATTGTTTTAAAAATAAGAATGGTGGTGTCCTTTTAAACTGACAATAAAAGCATATTTGTTTTGTTTTGTTTTTGTTTTGATCCAGTATCTGTGGGAAGTGTAATGTGTTTCAATATATGGCCGAGGCCGTTTGCAAAAACAGATTAAATTGGCGAACTGTAGATCTCATCTATATACTGATTATAATCATTCAAATACAACATTCATGCATTTATATATATATATATATATACGTATTATTCACACTATCTAACTTGCTAACTTTCAGTTCATATTATTTTTTAATTTGAATCTTACAATCTTATAATTGATAAACTTATGAATAAATAATTAAAAGCATAACTCCGTTAAAGGGACTGTAAGACTGCAAGCGTAATTTCAAGTGACCCTCAAGGCAAAGATGGCAAATGCCCAATTTACCAAATATGGTAACCTTAAAATTTAGCTTTGTTTGATCAAGTAAAAATTATATTTGCATATTTTTGCACTATAGTTTCAGTAGAAGTAAATATTTCCAATTACTGTTATATCGCCGATATAAGAATTCCTATCTCTAATTGGATTATGAGATAGATAGAAAGATAGATGTTACCGCCCTACTATTTCTATTGGTTCAGAATAGACAACAAACACATGGCTGAATCCTGAATGGATCAGGCGCTAATGGACTCGGCATACTAGAGTGTTTGGTTCTTTAAACTGTATATATGTTATATTTGCGGTTTCTCTGCATAAGTGACTTGCCGCATTATTTGCTTATCAGAAGCATTGGGAGAAATTCACAGAAATTAACACTTTTTCAGTCAGGAAAAAACAACGTTATCTTCCACATTTTAGATCAGCTATACGGGCAAAAAATCAGTCTGTAATCTGTATATTGTCTGTATATTAAAGGGACAGTAAAGGAAAAATGAAAGGGGGTATAGGCTGAAAGCTAATCACTTTAGCTCTTGATCGCGACCCATGAAAGTTTTATCTGATGTTCCTGTCTCGAGAAATTGATATAAAACTGTGTTAAAATTATACGAAAATTCATATATGTAAAATTTTGAAAATCTGAAACTTAAATCACGTGACCAGAACTTTCACCAATGGCAGAGCAGTATACTGATCACGTGTCTCTGCCTGTATCACGTGACCACTTTACTGCACTGCCATTGGTGGAATTTCTGGTCAAGTAATACGGACGTAAAAATAATATTATGAATGAAATCTATTGAAAATAGAAACAACAAACATAAAAGTAAACCTAAATTACAATTAGCTTTCTCTGGGATATCATCTTTTTCAGATTGGTTGCTGTTTTTCTGAGCATGGTCTGTTTAAACCTACTATTTCTATACGAAATTGTATATATATGCATTTTCGTACAAGTTTGAAACAGCTTTATATCAACTCTCGAGTTAGGAACTTCAGATAGGCGTCTCAAGGGTCTCGATGAAAAGCTAAAGTGATTAGCTTTCGGCCTATACCCCCTTTCATTTTTCCTTTACTGTCCCTTTAAGAATGAATGAATGAATGAATTTTCTATTTAAATTTTTTTTAATTCTGGTCTCTTTGTATAAAAATAAATAACTTATAAAGTTTAGCTACAGAAACAATGAAGGAAATTGTTAGATTTGCAATACTTTTAAACAAATTTTGAAAGTTTATTAGAGATCAATTAATTGTGTGTTCAGTTTATAAACTGCTTTACATAATGCAAAGCAAGTTTTACTCATTTTAAGCATCATGGGCACCTACGGAAGTTAACGTTTTCATTTTTTTGAAAAACGGTCTTTTCATTATGAAAACGACGACGAAAAATTGAAAACGAAACGATCGTTTTTTTCAAAAAGTTCGTTTTTTAAAAATGGTCGTTTTTAAAACGATCGTTTTGATATACTTCGATATATATCGATTTGAAATACTTTTTAAGAAAGAAACACTAGGATATCTTTCACGGATCAGAAACTGTGAATCAGAAATTTCAACTTAGTAAAGAAATCGAGTTTTAGCCACAAACTAGGATTCCTATATCCTTGTAACATAATATGTTGTATGAACTTAGATATTTTAAACTATGAATTCTGTTAAATTGAATTAATTCTGTCAAATAATCTAAGTTTGACCCATACGAGATGTTTACACCATCAGGTTGCAAAGATATGTAAATCTTTATCCAATTAAGTTAGTGGCAAAGACCAAAGATCAACGTGTTTCAAACCAAGTCCTCTGGGCTGAAACAACACCTATATAGAGTTGGGCACGAAGCATCCTTAATTTCTTGGTTATCTATATATTTGCAAATAGATCGTGTGCCAAAACCTTGTAAAGACATAGTTGTCTGTGTTTTACACTTGGAAGCGAAAAACAATTAATTGTTTTAAAAATAAGAATGGTGGTGTCCTTTTAAACTGACAATAAAAGCATATTTGTTTTGTTTTGTTTTTGTTTTGATCCAGTATCTGTGGGAAGTGTAATGTGTTTCAATATATGGCCGAGGCCGTTTGCAAAAACAGATTNCAACATTGTTCCTTCCACGCCACATATTAACTTTTTTTGTCTTCCGGCAGCCATAAGCCACAGCCGTCCGGTCTTCCATGCCACAACATTTGAGTCTTCTGGCAATTATTACGTTTTTAAATGATAAATTTAGGGCATTGAAATCTCAATTTTTAAAATCAGTCGCATTACGCGAATGATCATTTTAAGAAATTTTTGAAGTTTATAAAAGATCAATTAATTGTGTGTTCAGTTTATAAACTGCTTTACATAATGTAAAGCAAATTTTACATCATTTTAAGCATCATGGGCACGGCTAGGGATGTTAACGTTTTCATTTTTTTGAAAAACGATCTTTTCGTTATGAAAACGAACACGAAAAATCGAAAACTAAAAGATCGATTTTTCAAAAAGTTCACGTTTTTTAAAAATGGTCGTTTTTAAAACAATCGTTTTGATAAAAATCGTTGTTTCGTTAACGATCGTTAACGACGACCCTTCGTTAAGACAAAATTGTTTGAGGTAGTCTAAGAATAAGAAAAGATGAGAAAAATCACAGTATTAACTGAGCGGTACAGATTTCCTCAAAAAATTCTATTTTGCAATTTTCTCGTTAAATAGTGCAAATTTTCAGTAATGGACACCCCTTGAACTTTCAGAGTATGTTATGGAACATTGTTTTTATTTTTTATGTCTTAAAAATAAGCCATTTTAGAGGAAAGGTTGAATTTAGTTTTTTGGATACTAATCTTAGCCGTTTAAATTAGGAGGAATTGTCATTTCAATTTACAACTTAAATATAAAGATTTTAGACATCTTTTGCAGGAAAGCTAATATGTGGCATGGAAGGGAAAAATGGTGTTGCTTATGGGCATGGCTGCCTGCCTTCTCCCGCTCATGGAGAGGGGGGGGGGCGAGTACTCCAAGATAGGGGGTTTTCCTTGAATGTTCTATATATAAATGTGTTTGATCATAACTAATGAAACCCTGAACCGATTTGCCTCAATTAACTTGAAAGTTCTAAGTAGAGTGGGTGTACTTTTAAAGCGAAATTTTAAATTCCAGACAAATCTGGGTTCCAAACTCCCAAGCTAGTGTACAATAAAGTACAATAAAGTACAATAAAGTACAATAAAGTACAATAAAGTACAATAAATACAATGAACAAAACAATTTACATTGTACACGGTCAGTGTAGAATGTACAACACAATTTACATTGTACACGGTAAGTGTAGAATGTACAAAACAATTTACATTGTACACGGTAAGTGTAGAATGTACAAAACAATTTACATTGTACACGGTAAGTGTAGAATGTACAAACAATTTACATTGTACAAGGTCAGTGTAGAATGAACAAAACATTTTACATTCTACAAGGTCAGTGTAGAATGAACAAAACAATTTACATTGTACAAGGTCAGTGTAGAATGAACAAAACATTTTACATTCTACAAGGTCAGTGTAGAATGAACAAAACAATTTACATTGTACAAGGTCAGTGTAAAATGTACAAAACAATTTACATTGTACACGGTCAGTGTAGAATGAACAAAACAATTTACATTGTACACGGTCAGTGTAGAATGAACAAAACAATTTACATTCTACACGGTCAATGTAGAATGAACAAAACAATTTACATTCTACAAGGTCAGTGTAGAATGTACAACACAATTTACATTGTACACTGTCAGTGTACAATGAACTTAGAGTAAAAGGACAATATTAAATAAAATATCAAAATTACTCTAAATAAATAAATTACGCTATTGAATAGGCATGGGCCAAGGAAATTCCATTAACAAGTGATTGATTATACAATGAAAACGAAAGCTGTGGAATATGAAGACGACATTAGTTAATGGGTTTATACAGAGCGTTCCTTCCCATACTGGATAATTTCCAAGATGTAATGCTGAAATACGCACATAATACTCGGAAACGACCAAGTGGTTTCTAAATGCAAATTTTTAATACTTTGATCAACCATTTGCGCAAACATTACCAATCACAAATTAACAATAAAACCTATCTGTATCTACAATTACAGAAGAAATCGTTAAGATTATCATGTATAATAAAACAAGACATTCTTATATATATATATATATATGTTGCGTTAGTGACGTTCCTTTTCAAAAGAAAAGTTGATAAATTTCTTTTTCATTTATAAGACTAATAACTGGATTTGAGATATTAGAATTTGCAAATTTTTCATTTAATTTTGCAAATTCTAAGAAAGGAATCTAAGTGGGGGCAAATGGGTTTAAATCCATAATTATCAATTTGTATTTTCTTCTCTACAATCCTATGTAAGGATAATAGTTTTTACCGATCAGGAAATGTCAAAATATTTTAATTAATTGATTTAAAGTAAATTGCTTCAATAATAGCGTGGGAAGTGTGAGAATTAAACTCTCCCAAGTTCAACTATGAAATATGTTCTGAGCTGGGAACTTTAGAATGGATAACCTTTAATCCCAACTACTTAATCCGAATATCCACTGTGGAAACTTTTCATTTTTGTCCTAATCCACTCTTTTTCTCTCTCCTTGGATATCCGTTAATTGTTTTCTCCAATGAGAATATTTCTGTTCTCTCATTGATTGCCCGCTTTTCTCTGATTGGCTGCTACAGTTTCTAAGAAGATTAAATATTAATTTGAATTTTATCGTTTTTCATACACTTTTAAGATAATCTTGCAAGATTATGTTAATCTTGAGATTGTCAAAAAGAGAGGATCATGCATTAATCCCGATATCCACCATTCTAAAGTTTTCAGCTCCGGGACATTAATAACCCTTCCTATTATTTCTAGTAAACAATGTCCGAAAAATAATAGAATCAAGAGAATTTTAGATATATTACTAATAATCAATTAAAGTTAAATTTAGGATATTAAGAAGGCTGCATTAAAAGCAAGATCCAGAACATTATGAAACCGGAAGATGGTAATAATTAAGCAACATCTTTAATTGTTTGAATAATTAAGAAACAGAATCGAAGAACAAGAATTTTTTTAATTTGAATTATTTTACAGAATTAATAACACTAAAAACTGGATTACTGGCTATGAGGCAAAGGGCTGTAACAGGTTCTAAAGATTAGACAAAAAAGCTTTAAAATTAGGTTAAGTAAAACAAGCCATGTAAAATAAATCTATATTTTCTTAAATTTTACATAAAACTAATCATCGGCAGCAAAACGTACAGGAGGGAAAGTATTATCAGCGGGTTTGAAGTGAGCATACTGCGAGTGTGGATTGAAGGGTTGATTAACCAGATCCAGATTTTGAGAACTCTGGGAATACTCTGAACTGTACGGATTATAATATCTACCCGTTGTAGTCGACCAGAGTAAAGAATTGTCATACATTCCATTCTGGTGAGCTGCTTGGTACCGATCTTGAGTAAAGCCCAGCCTACTTCCAGAAGGATTGTACTGAGAACCGGTTACATGGCTTATCCCAGCCTGCTTGAATAAATACTTGTCCGAGGAACTAATGACCTCGCCATCTTCATTTCTGAAGTTCTGAGTCAGCTGTTGCTGAGGAGTACGTTGTAGGAACGGGCTAGCCCCCTGGAGCCCAGCGGGGTTAAACTGACTGATAGCAACCGTACCAAAATAACCAAACGTAGCCTTTAAGAAGATAACCCAGTTGTTGTATCCTTTATGTCCGGCTTCATAACTCTTCTTTATTCCTAGAAGTTCATATGTTCCTGGTTTAAAGCTTCCACAGTTAATTTGATTCCAATATAAACTACGAGACTCGGTACTAAAAGCATCAACAGTTCCCAAGGTTTCCATGTTCTTCACATACTTACCAAACCAGCATTGGGAATAACCAGTGATCAAATGGTGGTCAATATTCAACCTTTTACCTAGAGGCAAATATCCAGAACTGATCAACTCCTCAAGCTGATTCATATCAAATGCTAGATGCTGGCCTTGTGGAGTGAATTTGAAGGCTTCCATATCTTGGACATTAAAATCAGAGCCTATGCCAAAAGATCTGTACTTAGGGTCTTCAAGAAATGGGTTCCTGAACTCACCGGTGTTAATGGTTCCAACATGAAGAGCAGGAGCGTAGTGATCCATCTGGTTTGAAATAGCAGAGTAGGTTGCATACCCAGCATTTTGACGAGTCATAGCTTTCACTTCATCCTCCATACCATAGTTAATATTATCCCACCAGGCATCTTCATTTGGGACCTCAATGGTTTTAACCAGCTTCGGGTTGGCATAATCAGTAGATCTTCTCCGGCGTCTGGATTCCATCTTTTTGAGGTATCTAGCATCAGGGGCAGACATTGTTCTCTGTTCAGGGTACTGAGGAGGGTATTGAGGAGGGTATTGAGGAGGGAACTGAGGGAAGGGAGGGTAACCACCGGGTCCAAACCAGGGTAATCTGAACCAGTTAGGAAATGCAGGCATGCCAAATGGTCTGAAATCACAAAAAATAAAATATATTTTTTAAAATGTATATAATCACTTACAAGTATCCTTGAGGTGGGGGAGCAATTTGCTGCATATTGTCTTCCATCTCATCAGACTCTTCATCAGCCTCTTTATAAACCTCATCATTAAGGTGTTCCTGTTCAACATAGTCTTCATGCTTAGTGACTGGGGAGTCACCAGTAGGTCCAGGGGTGTATGTTTTTTCAATTTCCTGAAATATAATCTAAATTAGTGTCCAGGACATTTTGACTTAAAAAGATGGAATGAAGATTTTAAAAAATTTACCTTAGCTAAGGTTTTCAAAGAGCCGTCATCAACTGAAAAAAAAGTAATTCAAGAAATTTACATTTAACAAGTCAAATACAAACAATCTGTAGCATCAAACCTATAATTTTCTTTAACTATAACACTAAAACATTAATTCACTAAGATGGATTACTTCATTAATAAAATTAAAACTTTCATTAAAAGACTATAAAAGGTTGCTTAATTTAAGAATCCAAAATATCTCAATAATCGCCTTTAGGGCCAAGAATATTCAAGAGTAAAACTCAGGGGGAAGCGGGAGGGGGGGGGGCGGAAATTACTTACCAAGTTTAGAATCTTTTTGGGAACTTCCAGGATCCAACTTCAGAGGTTCAGACGGGGGTTTAACAGACGCCACATAATCTGCAGGAGGAGGGGGAGCCAGGACCCCTACTCCAAGGAGTACTAAGGCGAGCACACACCTTAAAAAGAAATCATTGCAGCGATAAACTTCATATTTGCCTATTCAGATCAAGAATATGGATTAGAGATTTTTTCTGAAACAATTTTTTAGAAGCAAAATAGTATTTTATGAAAAAGTAAGCACGTTTGTAAAATTCATTTGAAAAATGGCTTGTTACAAGATGAACAATTTAAGAATAAAAATCACCAGTATAAGCGAGAGAACTCTTGTCTAACTTATTAAATTAAGCATCATTAGAACTGGGTTGAATTTTCGAATTCAAATCAATTTACAGAATTGAAAAGTTTAAAAGGATTATTTTAAACTACTATTTACTATAACTCGTCCAAAATTGAATATTTATTACTGCTGTGAATGCTTTGGCCAACAAATAAAATTCAAATTTTTCATTTCAACTTGATTTCTTCTTTTTTCTCCAGTTTTATCATCGAAAGATAATATTCGAAACATTTGTATTACAGTAATTAATGTTTTTAATGGAGACTGATATAAAAAGGGCGATGAAGCAGATGAAAATTGACACTTCTGTGAAAGTACTAAGTTTAGCTATGTATACACAATAACATGACCACTAGACAAAGCGAAGAGCACCAATTGTAATTGTTACCACCAAAAAAAAGAATTCATAATTCCGTCACAAGTCTGAACATCTAAATAATGGGCCTCATATTCCTATTAATCCAAATTATATCGTCGTTAAGAGATCAAACAACACTAACCAGAAAAATCGATACTAAGATACTTAATCAGTTATAAAGACCAACACGAATATCAGTTCAATTAAATAAAAATTGTTAAGTATGTAAAAATATTGTCCATTAGAGTGCAATTAACACTCACCTCATCCTAACTGGCTATAAATTTTAGACTGCTGTGAAAGAATAAAGCTAACACATCAACACCTCTGGATAATTCGAACAAAGAAAGCGTACTGCATTAGTAGTACACATTTTTTGTACACAGAATGTAAATAAACAATAAACATGTTCGAGAATATGGAAGAAAAAAAAATGATTCATTTTTATTTAACTAACAGTTTGAAAGTAAAATAAAAAATTGTATTGTTTTTTTAATAACATTATAATATGATTCTTTATTCTGTTATTAAAACTGTTTTTCATTCTTTTAAACTTGTTTTAGGATTAATTCTCTAAAATGCTTGTTTTTCTCTTGATTTGCTCTTTAATTTACCTACGAACAATTCTACCTTTTCCATTTTTTTTAAGTTCAATGAGTTCTATCCTTCAATATTTATATTAATTACAATTACAAATTATTTCATTTTTTATTCCTAATTCCTACATTTTGTTAAACTTTGTTTTTGCTCAATTTCTTATTTCCACTCCTATTATCTTCAATTCTTATTCCTTAATGCTCATCAACTCTGCATGATATTCCTCTCAACTCTGATATTCCTCTCAACTCTGAAATTCCTCTCAACTCTGATATTCCTCTCAACTCTGGTATTTCTCTCAACTCTGATATTCCTCTCAACTCTGAATTTCCTCTCAACTCTGATATTCCTCTCAACTCTGGTATTTCTATCAACACTGATATATTCCTCTCAACTCTGATATTCCTCTCAACTCTGAAATTCCTCTCAACACTGATATATTCCTCTCAACTCTGATATTCCTCTCAACTCTGATATTTCTCTCAACACTGATATATTCCTCTCAACTCTGATATTTATTCTTTATTCCTTATTTCTGTTTCAACTCTTTATTCTCTTAAATTCCTTATTCATTTTTTACACTTTTTATCTTGTATTAAAGCCAAGTTCCAACCCACTCAACTGAAAAAATTAATCCAAGCTAATACATTCCAGTAGTTCTACCGACCCCGATCAACATTTGAGGGGTTTCAGAGATATGATCGGACACACAGACAGACAGACAAAAAGACAGATTGTTACTTAATCTTCATATATAGATTGCTTCTCAAAATCCTATACTAATTATTATTCCTTCTCAAATCCTATATTTCTTCATCATTTATTATTCGTACATAGCTGTAGAAGAAAGTGTCAGAAACGACCCATGATTATTGAGAGACATGTCCGATTCACCAAGGTACCCATTTTACAGTGTTGAATTCTATTAATTTCATTCTTTTTCTCTGATAGATTTGTTGGCAAGTCACTTTAATATTGCAAAGTTTAAATCAATTATTTCTTTAGAAGTTCTTACTCGATTCCTCTATTCTTTTCTCCTTCATTACTCTTTCTACCGTTCCTTTTCCGTTGCACCTCATCCTACCGTTCCATTCTCTTTCACTTCTCTTCCTACCGTTACATTCTCCTTTGCTTATCCTACCGTTCCATTCTTCTTCACTACTCTTCCTATATCATTCCATTTTGACTTACTACACTTCCTACCATTTAATTATTCTTCACTACCCTTCCTACCGTTCCAATCTTCTTCATTACTATTCCTATCGTTCCATTTTCCCTTACTACACTATCTACCGTTCCATTTTCCCTTACTACACTATCTACCGTTCCATTTATCTTCATTCCACTTCCTACCACTCCGATCTTCTTCACAACCCTTCCTACTGGAACCTCATTTTCCTTCCTGCTATCGTTAAATTCTCCTGTACTACTCATTCTACTGTTACATCCTTCTTCACTACTCTACCATCCATTCCATTCTCTCACACTTCCCTTCCTCACTTTCCTTTCTCCCGTACTACACTTCCTACCATTTCATTCTCTTTGCTCCTCATCCTACTCTTCCGTTCTCCGTCACTTCTATTCCTACCGTTCCATTTACAATTCATACTATTCCTACCGTTCCATTATCCATAATACTCTTTAATACCGTTCCTTCATTCTTTATTTATCTTGAAAACGTTTCGTTCGTTCTACTCTTCTTTACTTCTATTCCTCCTATTTCGTTATCCTTTACTACCCTCCTACCATTTCATTTCCTTTTACCAAATGCATAGCGTTCCATTCTTCTTTACTTCTCTTCCTCCTATTTCGTTATCCTTTACTAACCTCCTACCGTTCCATTTCCTTTTACCAACTTTATAGCGTTCCATTCTCCTTTACTTCTCTTCCTCCTGTTTTGTTATCCTTTACTACTCGCCTGCCGTTCCATTTTCTTTTACCAACTTCATAGCGTTCCACTTTCCTTTACTTCTATTCCTCCTGTTCAGTTATCCTTTACTACCCTTCTATCGTTGAGTTTCCTTTTACCATCTACATAGCGTTCCATTCTCCGTTCCAGCTTTTCCTCCAATTTAAATCGAAATTTAAAATTCAATTTGATTAAATTGGTCTCGATATTATCAAACCTTATTAACCACAGAAGACGAACAATACTGACGACAAAGAACTCAGTTATGACAATTTTTGATTAAAATTGATCTGTTGTTTATTAACAGCATTGAATGATTTTGGAAGAAAAACACGAGAAATATTAATGTCAGAACAAATAAAAAAATAAATTCCGTGCGGTCAGGTACAAACATCATTTTTTGTGGGTAACCCTATATATCATGGACCGCACTATTTTCTAACATTTTTCTTTGTTATTTTAAGATCTACTAGCTGACGGGCCCGACGTCGCCCGTGGAAAAAAATTTAAAAAGTTTGATANACCCAAGGGTGTCCACAAAAGATTTCAGCCCAATCGGTCCAGCCGTTTGGCCGACTATAGGCAAAATATATATCTACGAATGTCTTGTTTTATTATACAAATTTCCAAGATATTTCGTCAAATTAAATCATTTTAAACTAAAATCTTTTATTGCTATAGTTTTAACTAGCTAGCACTGAAAATAAATGCTACGAAATTTCAGCAATTTAATGAGGTTTAAATTTATCTGTGAAGGCATTTACATATTATTCATATTTGATGCGTTTTGATAACAAAATACATAGTATGTTGTTTTGATAACAAAATACATCGTATGTTTTGATAACAAAATACATAGTATGTTTTGATAACAAAATACATAGTATGTTTTGATAACAAAATACATAGTATGTTGTTTTGATAACAAAATACATAGTATGTTGTTTTGATAACAAAATACATAGTATGTTGAGAATTTAATTCAAGTTATTAAAAAAAGAAGCAGAAGGTTGGAAAATTAAAATTACAATATTTAATACGGACTAGATGTTATTGAGCGAGTTGCTAAACAAACATAGTTCGCCTTTTATGGATTAGAAAAAAAGTTTTGATTTTTCATCGACTAGAACAGAAAAATTGACGAAACTTAATTTTGATATTTTTTGTGACTGTCAGTAAATAAATTTATATATTTTGATTACAAACTGAATCTGAATAATCTGCACGATGTTTATAAATCTAAATTTCCGCGAGGGTTTCGTCTAGGTCATGATTTTGATGAGATTTAGAGTCCTCCAGAGCCTCCCTGGATTCCGTGAACGTAGAAAAGATAAGATTTGTTCATCTGTTCAAGAAATATGAACGTGATCACAGTGTGGGGACCCAACCTGAAAATAAAAGATCATATTTTTAAATGTCACGAGTTGATTTAAAAATTGTTAATTGTTAATTGAAAGATCCAATGGTTAATCTATCCTTGTGAAATTTTAAAAGGACTCTGTTCGCGTAGTTTTAAGTGACCCTCCATGCAAAGATGACAATGTCCTATTTACAATCGTTTTTATGGTTTAAATGTGCTTAATTGTAATAATTTTCCTTCATTAGAAAGGCACCAGTCCCTTTTGTGGATAAGTGACAATTGAAAAATCAGTATTTAAAATCATAAACCTTTCAAAATCATACTCAGACAACAGTGTTACATGTACATATAAAGGATACCGTTGTGTATCGGGCATTGGCATCTTTGCATGAATGGTCAATTCAAAATTATGCTTCCAATCCCTTAACATTGACTATTTCTCCACTTCTGTAAACCAGGGGGAGGCGTGTAGACAATTTTAACTTCAACCTATCAGAAGTAGGTTTTTTATCGGACAAGAATGATTATAACAAATATTTAAACAAGAATCCTACAGCACAACCATTTTTGAAAAATAGTTTATCTTTGAAAACTTTTAAGAAAGTTGAAAGAATATTTTTTGAACATATAACCACTGTAAAATTCGATTTTATTTAAAACAATTCAATAATTTGTTAAAAAAAAACATTCGAACCTGAAGTAATAAGGTGTGAAACCTTTCCAAAGAGAGAAAAATCCTTCTTGTTTAACAACCTTTGAGAGTACATCAACGGCTCCCTTGTATTCTGGTTTACCTAAAATATGGAATAATCAATGATAACATTGAAATTTATTAAAAACATGGATTTTATTTTGAATGAGATTAAAAACAAGCACAACAAGTTAAAATTCTAAAATTAATTAAATTTAAAATATTCTACCAATAAATCCACGAAATGAATTTTAAAAATCCGCAAACCATTTCCACGAGAAAACGAACATGGACAGGATCGGAGACGCAAATAAACCAATCGAGGCAAGAATGGCTGAAGTGCGAGAGGAGAAAAAGGTTGTCCATGTCCCAAAAGATGCTTTAAACTCGGGTGTGGACACTTCAGAATACCTAAAGGAACAACTTTCGCTGGGCTTGGATTATATGTTTAATTTATCTACCCCAGTACTTCCGGGGGATGAAGCTCCACTTTTCGAGGCACCATCACTGGAGAAAGGTGTTTCTAAAGTCACAAACCTGTCCGAATTAAAGGTATTTTTTAATCATTGACATTAATTTTAACAATCAGTTCCCATTTTAAGACGTTTAAAGCATATTTTAATTGTTCAGGGCCGAGTAGTACTGCTTGTGTTCTACCCTAAGGATATGAGTATTGAGAGCGAGGAAACGATGAACCTGTTGACCGACATGGCCCTAGCTCCAGAGCTTGATCTCCAACTGTTGACCATCTCTACCGACACTATAGAAACTCATAGGGCGTGGTCGGAACAACGAGAGGGTGGGACTCCTCCAGTAATAATGCTATCAGATAAAAACGGACATATCGCTCAGATGTACGGAGTTTTGGACTCCAACAACCATGTTGCGTTCCAGTCAGTGTTCTTGATAGACCCTGAGGGCTTGGTACAAGGAAGCAGGGTGGCAGGAAGGGGCGGTCTACAACCCAATACCGCCTCAGATATGCTGGATTTTATCAGAGCAGCTTTGAAGCCACAGGATCAAGTGGAATAGTTTTAAGAACAGAATACTTGTATAAAATCCAAAAATAAATTATTATGATTTTTTTATTTGATTATTTTCGATTGTTCAGAAACAATCCCAAAATGCTGTACCATGCATTAAAGCATAATAAATGTAAAACACACAAAATGTTGTGACTATCAAATTTTATTTACCATCAATATACTTCATGCTCTGTAACCTAGTCTTGGCAATATCAACAGGCATAGATGCAATAGTAGTCACCAGGCCTGATATCATTGATGCAACAAAGTGGCAGAAAATACCATCCTAAAACATATTAATTCCTTAAAAAAATCATGTGTACTATATAATATAATGAAGATTGGGGAAGATGGAGAGGGGTTGGGTTGTTGAAAAATTTGGCATTTCCACATGAAAAATTAATTATAAATTGAAATAATTTTAAATCAATGCAAGCTACTTAAAACAATGTTTGTAAATGAAAAGATATAACGTATACATTTCTTATCATAAAACACAAGGGATATGCATTTTAAGCTTTTGATTGTGATAAACATGGCGCCCCCCTCCAACTGACCCCCTAAAATATACACCTCTTTAATAAAATGTTGTAAGCGATTGTGCCATTTGAACTTGAAATCTACACATTGTTTCCAAAAAAAGAACAGCGAAAAGACAATACCTGAATATATCCAGATCCAAGTATAATTTGCTTAGCTTGGCTGTAGGTAGCCAACTGGGCAGCATTTACTACCATAGCCCTGTTACAAATCATTTATAAATAAAAAATAAATAGCGTTTATTTAAATTTTACATTTTTATAAATTCATCGCAATTTTCCTTGATCTTATATTATGTATCATGAGAGGAATTGTCCACACGTAATTTCAAATGACCCCTGATTTGAATATTACACCACACGCCTGATTATCAGCGATACCCTTTCTAAATTTTTCACATTTTTTTCTGTCTAAAAATTGACAATTTTTCATAAAATGAACATTAACAGTGACATGCGGATCTATGCAACAGAGACGAGGAAGAAAATAGACTGAGTATATGTATGTATGTATAAGGTAGTTAAGCGGTATCGCGTTATTACCTAAAAAAAGGTTAAAAGGTAACGTTGTGAATATTGAATAAATAGGACATTTACCTTTAAAAGGAGGTTTACATGAAATACAGTTAACAGTACCTTTAATGGGATAGACCGGCTATACTCAGTTTAACTACCTTACATAGCCGGTCTGTCCCTTTAAGTAAACAATTGAAGAAAACAAAATTATAAATTTACTGAATGATATAAAACGGGAATATTTAAAAATAGAATTGGGAGAAAGATTGATTACCTTCCCATTGTAGGAGTAGCTCCTCTCCATTATTCTAGCAAGAGCATTAAATACAGATGTATAGTTTCTTCTTTTATCAACAGGTAGAGATCCATCAGATGTCATTCTAACCAATAAGCTCAATCAATATTTAGAATCATTTAATATAATCTAATGTTAGAGAGAAGGAAATTTTTACTTTACAGGTAAGATTAGGTTACACTTTACCAAAAGGTTCACAAAAATTGGTCGAAAATTCAAATTCAAATTTCCCGAAAAGAAGTTAGTTGTACGCAATTTTATTGTCTTTTGAGATTTTTGAAGAAAACTTCGCATAGTGGGTTGTATTTTACTTAATCGTCCCAAGGGAAAGTTGTACGCAATTTTATCGTATTTTGAGATTTTTGAAGAAAACTTCGCATAGTGGGTTGTATTTCACTTAATCGTCCCAAGGGAAAGTTGTACGCAATTTTATCGTCTTTTGAGATTTTTGAAGAAAACTTCGCATAGTGGGTTGTATTTTACTTAATCGTCCCAAGGGAAAGTTAAACAATTTTACGTTTGCCAAAATGCGTAAAAATAAATGAAAAAACTGCTTTGTATTGGAAATGCTTTTAAAATATGGTTTAAGGAATAGTTCTCGTCAATCAATATAAGTAATAAAATAAAAATAATCGTTTCATAAACGATACACTGCGCCTGATGAACAATAATCAAACACTAATCGTTTCTAATCCACAAAGAATGGAAAAAATTTCGGCCATCTTTCTGGCTGGACTGTGCTGAAAACATTTTTAAGACATTTTTACACAGACTTACACTGCTAAGTATCAAATGTTTTAACTAAATTGATAAATACAAAATTATTTAACACATATATATAATAATTTGAATAAGTTTATTCCTGATGAGTGCAACCTCAGCAGGGGTTCCTACAAATGCTCCAGAAGCACCAGCAGCCATTCCTATAATTATCATGAGTTTTGCATATTAAATTATTGAATTTAAAAACATATTAATTTCTTTAATCAATATTAATATCAGCAACATTAGATACAGATAGATATCACAACTGTTCTACAGATATCTAGTTTTCAATATCTCATTTTTGTATTTTCGTCACGAAGCATTTTGCAAATTCTGATTCGATCTTTTTAAGGCCTAACTTTGAAAAGAGTAAAGATGTTGGGATTTTCCTCCTATATATAAATTTTTTGTTTTTTACTGTAAAAAGAGAAGATGCTAAGAGATAAAGCCACAATTTAAACTTGAAATAGAAGATGGGCGCGATGCGCTCTAAAAGCCTAGTTTTATAAAAAAAAAGTGTCTTTAAGAAGCAAAAATACGAGCTGTGTTCTAGTTCGAAACTAAAATGCATGACATTTCTAGAAATATTTTCCCCTTCGTTATTCATCATTACTAAAATACAGGGGTCGGCGTTTATATCAATACAATTGAGACGACTTTTTGGTTTAAGTTTTGATTACTAACAAGAATTTTACAAGCTGTTAATTGACAGCTTATTCTTGTTTCCATGTTTAGGTGTATTCATGCTCTTTGAATGGCTTGGTAGAAATCAAAATTTAAATCAAAAGTCGTCTTCATTGTAATGATATATACTACGACCCCTGTACTTAGCTTACTTTACCTAAACCAGCTTTCATAAAGAACCCAGGTGGTGTTCCCTCAGTGGAGAAGGTTTCGAATAACCAAGTATAGATTCCAAGCCGAGTTGTAGTATAGGTTGCCTGCCTACAAATAATCAAGTAAAAGACCCTGGAAAGTTTTTATTTAACTAGCGAATTTTTTTAAGAAGGAGGCAATTTAATGAGTTAACAATTTTTAAGAAGGAGGTAATTTAATGAGTCAAACACTTTTTAAGGAGGTAATTTAATGAGTTAACAATTTTTAAGAAGGAGGTAATTTAATGAGTTAACAATTTTTAAGAAGGAGGTAATTTTATGAGTAAACACTTTTTAAGGAGGCAATTTAATGAGTTAACACTTTTTAAGAAGGAGGTAATTTTACCCCCAATAGAACTGAAAATATTACCTAGCTACCCCCATTAGAACTGAAAAAGAACTTGGCCTAGGACCTGCCTGAACCTTCATGACCTAGAATTAAAAACAATTATTTGGGTAATTAATAACAAAGTCGATCAATCTGCTGGGAAATATTCATGATTCAGAACATTAGTGTTGTTAATCTCGGAATTAACCATTAATCTGTGTCTTATCAAGCTAGACCTACGGATTAATTAAATTCCTCTCCGAAATACAGTGGTCGCCATACCTAGCAGGAATACTTTAAATTAAAGGATAAATGCTGTTCTCAAACATCTAAAAGTGCCTCCATTGGTTATCAATTTAACACAAAAGTCCAACCTTTGATCAGTAATTATCTAAAATCATGACAACTTTTACAATTTGCCAGTCAATGATCTAATTTAGTTCTGTGAATTAATTAATAAGATTTAACATTTTCACAATAAAACCACTGAAGTGGAATTGAACTTTTTTCGTTTAACAAAATGTAACCTTTTTCATATAACAAAACGATAAAAAACGTGTGAAATTGATACAATTTCAAAAGAAAATATACAATTGTAGATCGTTATACTCTTCTTTAAAGGACGGAACACAGTCAAGGAGTGTATATTTTTGAAAATCCCCCCCATTGATGAATGAAAAAATGGACATCAAAAGGTGATATTTTTTATCATTTTTACTCCTTTTAAACCAAATTTAATTTTTCTGAAAGTCATTTGTTTTCCCTAAGTCAGCAAAATATAACCTACAGAATATTCTGGGAGAAGAAAATTATTTTCAAACAGGGGAGGGGAGGGGGGGCTGTTTTTTTTGAGAAAATAAAGGGTCAGTCCCTTAAAAATTTCCGACCTGCATTCTGGTTTTAACTAGATCCAAGGGTTGAACAAAGCAGGTTGCTGCCATTCCTGCTGAACCACCGAACAAGAATTTCACTAAAACAATAACATTTTGGAATTTCTTAGCGTAAAAAATGTTGTTTTTTTCAACGGGCGCTGCGGCCAAATGCTCAGCTTTGCAAATGTAAACATATGGGATCCATATACNCGGCCCAGAAATTGTCTTAACTAACCTAACCCTAGAATAATGTAAAAAAATAATAGTAATTTTGCTGAAAATTAGTGGTCATGCACAAAATTGATAGGAGGGGGGGGCAGGGGGGAGGGTGTCCAAATCGTAAACTAGGATGGACCCCGCGGCCCGCATAACATTTTAGAAACAAAAACCTGGCTTGGGAACCGTAGCGTCAGCCATTTTCTGAAAAATGATGAATATATTTAATTGTTTATCTTTTACGCTTTTCATTCTGAGAATTCTGAAGATTTTGATGAACGATCTCCATGGAGATAAATGATGACCTTCACTTTTCTAACACGGTCACACTAGTCCGGAGTCCCAAGTGTGCAATCATAAGTTGCCTTTCTGCAGAGTGCAGAGACTGCGGTTGTAGCCATGGAAGGTTCATTGAAAACATCGGGCTTTCAAACCGGTTTTTTGTACTTTCATGTTTTTATGAAAAAGAAAATAAAGAAAAAAAGAAAATTATGGAAAATCATTGAAAATCATTATTTATTAAAGATTTAGCTTTTCTTCAATTTTGTGTTCAGTTGAATTTACTGGTATGAAAGTTTAATTGCAACAAAAAAAATGAAATCGATGACGACCTTTTTCAAAAAATGTTGCAACTTTAATTAAATGAATATGTAGAAATAAATTCATTTGTATAATCAAAGATTTTAATCAAGGTTAAAAAGTTTACATTCTTTTATAACTATTTTTCTTAAAATAAAATTATTATTTAATTTTTCAAAGTTGCAATCTTTAGGCTGCTTCGTTGAAGCCAAATCGCACGATTAATAAATCCTGCCAGGTGGATTTAAGGCTAGATTATCTACCCTAGTGTTTCATTAGAGATGTAAATCGTGCTATTAACGTTAATGCCGCGATGTCTTAATAGCAGGATAAATAAATCCACCCGCACGGGTGGATTTTCCCTAGATTATCTACCCTAAATCGTACGATTAGTTGGGTTTGGTTCAAATTATGAGAGAGAGAGAGAGAGATAGATAGATAAATAGATAGATAGATGAAAACATAAATAGAAAGAAATAAGATGAAGAAGAAAAAATAAAAAAATATAATAAAAAATGTTATCAACAATCTCTTTGCANATTTTTTTGTTATTTAGGGTTAGGTTAGGTTAAGATACTTTCTGGGCCGAGCGCTGCGGCTAGGATGGGCTAGGGGGCCGAGCGCTGCGGCCACGGGTTAGGTTAAGTTAAGAAACTTCCTGTCACACCCATGTACAAAATTGATAGGAGGGGGGGGGGCTCCGGGGTGTGGGTCCAAAAATCGTTCTCTAGGAAATTACCTGGGTCTTGCCCATTGGATTCTTAGGCAATGATTAAAACCGACGGGAGTAGGGTTGAAACCATAGTATATGGTTTATTTTATTGGGGAGCGGCTAAACGCAGTAACGTGAGAATGCCGCAATGAATTTTAAGAAGAGTGAGATTAGTATATTTTGGGTCTGAACGATTATAAGATCCATGTACAAAATTGATGGAGGGGAGGAGGGGTCCAAAAATCGCTCTCTAGGAAATTACCGTATATTTCAGGGTTAGGTTAGGTTAATACACTATGGGTCGCGCGCTGCTGTTAGGACAGGCTGGGGGCCGAGCGCCGCGGCTAGAACTGGCTCTTTTTCTGTTTTACTATTCATTGCGGCATGCAAACGTAACTGCGTTTGGCGGCTATCATGTTCTTGCTCTGCTAACTGGGAAAAGCCACGATATTCATTTTTAGATGTTAAACTAACTTTATGATCAAGTACAACGAATTATTATTCATATTCATCCATATTTTTACTTAACTACAAAGCATAAGATAATACAAATAAAAAATCACAATTTGCTATGTAGTTTGGACCCGCCTAACAAGAGTTTTTGCTATGATCAAAGTACAGCCATAAATTAGGATGATGTCTTGGGTCCGTCCAAGTTAACGATTTTTGGACCCTCCTCCTCCCATCAATTTTGTACATGACCAATAATTTTAAGTTATTTTGTATTTATTTTAGGTTACTTGTACGGATCCTTATAAACTCAAATTACAACAATTTTAATTTTATTTTTCCAGTTTAAATGGCAGGATCTGCTCTTAGACGATTGATGGCCGAATATAAACAGATCTCTCAAAACCCTCCAGACGGACTAGCAGCAGGTATAATCAAGAATCATAGGTATATTCCTGGAGAACGATTTTTGGACCCCCCCCCCTCACCCTCATTTCAATTTTGTCCATGAAGTTCATTTGCATCACGGTCTAAGTTGGACATATGGCCGCATTGTTCGGCCTTCAGCCGCGGCACTCGGGCTCCTATCCTTAGCGCTCGGCCAAGAATATCTATTTATGTCATTGTAATGGGTATTATTAAGTGCGAAAAAGTTTTGGCCGGAATTTTTAATATTTTCTACTTTCGGTGTGAAAATGCTTTCATTTTGATCTTCAACTAACTAGAAACATTAAAAATTACAGGAAAAACTGTTTCGCGTCATGATACCTATTTCAATAACATGTATACTTTTATTTAGATTTACTCAAATTATTTTAAAGCAGGTCGATAAAGTAACTTAATCACCCTGTTGTAGAGTGATTAAGTAACTTTATCGACCTACATTGAGACAAATTAAATATGAAATTTGAAATTTTAATAGCAGGGTGATGAAGTTACTTTTTCGCCCTGTTGTTGGGCGATAAAGTCTCTTAATCAAATCACCCTACAGCGGGAAATATTAGGTGTGATAAATTCCATCAAAATTGAATAAATTTTATTAACCTATTGTTCTAAGAATATTTAAGGTTCATAATATTAAAAAATAAGATTGTTGGAGATCTTATGAATTTAAAATTTTAATTTAGAAAAATCTAGGAGAAAAAACTTATTATTTCAATATCCACTGTATCCAGGACCAGTAACTGAAGATAACTTTTTCTTATGGGAAGCAGCAATCACAGGACCGGAGGATACACCATTCCAGGTAGATCAAATCAATCAATTCTTTGAATTCAATAAATTCATTGAATTTAATCAATTCATTGAATTCAATCAATTCATTGAATTTAATCAATTCATTGAATTCAATCAATTCATTGAATTTAATCAATTCATTGAATTGAATGAATTAAAATAATCCATTTCATTTTTATCTATTCAATTAACTCAGATTAATACAGTGAAAACAATAGATTTAATTACATCAATCAGTTCAATCAATCGATCAATAACATATATTTAATCACAATTCAATAAAATTAGTTCAATTCAATGCAATGAAATTAATAAATTAAATAGATTTTTAAAAATTTATCTATTTAACCAATGTTAAGTTCAATTGAATGAATCAAGTCGATCAATTGAGTCAGATTCCTCAAATCAATCATAAAATTCAATCAAATTACGAACTACAATCAAATTACGAACTACAATCAAATTAGTCATATGATTCAAATTAAACCAATCAAGTAGATAAATCAAACCATCAACCACAATTATAACACTTATTTGATTCAAATTCAAGACTTGGAAATCAATCAAACAACAATCAATAAATGAATCGATCTCTGATGCAGTGAATCAGTAATATCTGATCTATTGGTGCTTCCCACACCTGGCTGCGGTCTGGTGGGTCCACATCGGGATCCTTATGCTCCATATGTAACAATATTAGTATTTAGGATGGTGTATTTATTGCTGAACTAGCATTCCCCCAAGACTATCCACTCAACCCACCTAAAATGAAATTTAAATCAGAGGTTAGTTATTCTTCGTTAATATTCCCAGAAATTCAAACTTATGATTTTATACACCTAGTTTTGCTGAAAATTATATATCGTTTGATAATTCCAATTTTGTGACTGATTTGTAGAAATTTGCCAGAAGTTCAAACTTAAAATTTATTACATACGCTTTTTCTGAAAATGATATATTGTTTGATAATCCAAATTTCAAACCCAATTTATAGAGATTTTTTTTTTTCGTAAATCAGATACAAAAACTAATAATTTTATACAACTAGTTTATCTGAAAATTATATTTCGTTTGCTAATTCAAATTTTGTGACCAATTTGTATAGGTTAACCGCTAATTCTGCCAGAAATTCAAACTTAAAATATTACTCACGCTTTTTCTGAAAATGATATATTGTTTGATAATCCATATTTCGGGCCCAATTTATAGATTTTTTCGTCAATCAGAAACAAAAACTTATAATTTAATTAAACCGCTTCTGATTAAAATTATATCGCTTGATAATTCCAATTTTGTGACTGATTTGTGAAGATTAACCGCTAAATCTGCCAGAAATTTAAATTTAAAATATTACGTATGCTTTTTTTGAAAATGATATATTGCTTGATAATCCAAATTTCGGGCCCAATTTATAGAGTTTTCTTTTGTAAATCAGAAACAAAAACTAATAATTTAATACAACCGCTTTCCCTGGAAATTGGATATCACTTAGTAACCTAATTTTCGTGACCATTTTTAGAGATTCTTCATTAATATTCCTGGATATAATAAATCCCTTTATGATCTAATTTTGATGACCAAATTGGTCATGTCCAGCGCAGTTCTTATCTATGCACTAGTATCAACTTTTCTTAAATCAAGAAATAAACCCCCGCGAAATTTTAGCTTTTATTCCGACTTATATTTTATCCAATAATATTCTAACTAATTCATCCAAATATAATCTCGATATTTCATCCAAATATATTATAGATATTTCATCCAAATGTATTCTAGATATTTCATATAAATATCTGCTAGATATTTTATTTAAATATATTCTTTTATTTAAATATATTCTGGATATTTCATCGAAATATATTCTAGATATTTCATCGAAATATGTTCTAGATACTTCATCGAAATATATTCTAGATACTTCATCCAAATATATTCTAGATATTTCATCCAAATATATTCTAGATATTTCATCCAAATATATATCCTGATGGCCGTGTATGTATTTCTATTCTACATCCACCCGGAAACGATCCTTTAGGTAAATCTTTTATCCTCAAAATTAAATCTGACAGTTAAAAATTTAAAATCTAGTTCTCCCCAATGTTTCCAGAAGTTATTTTTGTTTTTGATGAGTTTTTGCTTCTTAAGTTCTTTTTAATTTTTTTAACGTTTTTAATTATTTAATTAGCGGAGCGGGGATGTTAAAAGTTTCTGGTCCTGATCCTGAGCATTTAAAAATGGTTCCTTCCTCTCGGAACTTGAATTATTTTATCAGACTTGAAGTTGTTAATTTTTTAGTTTTATATTTTGATATTATTTAGGTTATGAATCCAGCAATGAACGATGGTCTCCAGTTCAAAGTATAGAAAAGGTACTAAAATGTTGTTTGAACCCTTTGCTTAAATTTATTGTCTGATGTCAATATATTCTATATCCTATTGTCCGTGTTGTCTAAATATTCTTGATCCTATTGTCTGTGATGTCTATATATTCTAAATCCTATTGTCCTTGTTGTTTAAATATTCTTGATCCTATTGTCTGTGATGTCTATATATTCTAAATCCTATTGTGCGTATTGTTTAAATATTCTTGATCCTATTGTCTGTCATGGCTATATATTCTAGATCTTATTGTCTGTGATGTTTGTATTCTAGATTATATTGTCTGTGATGTCTATATATTCTAGATCCTTTTGTCTGTAATGTCTGTATAAATATATTCTAGATCCTATTGTCTGTGATGTCTGTATATTCTATATCCTACTGTCTATGATGTCCATATACTCTTGATCCTATTATCTGTGATGTCTATATATTCTAGATTTTATTGTCTTTGATTTCTATTTATTCTAGATCCTATTGTCTTTGATTTCTATTAGATCCTATTGTCTGTGATGTCTATATATTCTAAATCCTTTTTTCTATGATCTGTACCCTATTGTCTGTGATGTTCTAGATCCTATTGTTTTGGTGTTTAATTCTAGATCTTTTTGTCTTTGATGTCTATATATATATTCGAGATCCTATTGTCTATGTCTATATATTCTAGATCCTATTGTCTGTGATGTCTATATATTCTAGATCCTATTGTCTAAGTCTATATATTCTAGATCCTATTGTCTGTGATGTCTATATATTCTAGATCCTATTGTCTGTGATGTCAATATTCTAGATCCTATTGTTTTTGGTGTCTATATATTCTAGATCCTTTTGTCTATGATTTCTATATATTCTAGATCCTATTGTTTATGTCTATACATTCTAGATGCTATTGTCTATGTCCATATATTTTAGATCCTATTGTCCTATGTCCATATATTCTAGATCCTATTGTCTGTGATGTCTATTTATTCTAGATCCTATTGTCTTTGATGTCAATATATTCTAGATCCTATTGTCTATGATGTCTGTATATTCTAGATCCTATTGTCTGTGATGTCTATATATTCTAGATCCTATTGTCTATGATGTCTATACATTCTAGATCCTATTGTATGTGATGTCTATATATTCTAGATCCTATTGTCTATGTCCATATATTCTAGATCCTATTGTCTATGATGTCTATATGTTCTAGATCCTATTGTCTGTGATGTCTATATATTCTAGATCCTTTTGTCTATATCCATATATTCTAGATCCTATTGTCTGTGATGTCTATGATAGCTGAACCCAACACTGAATCTCCAGCTAATGTTGACGCTGCAAAACTGTGGAGAGATGACAAGGAAGAGTTCAGGAAGAGGGCCTATCTCTCCGTCAGGAAGTCCTTGGACATGTAAACTCCTCTCTCCAGTGTTTATAATTTAAAGAGACTGTTCACGTAGTTTTTAGTGTTCTTTCAATTATTAATTGTTACGACATTTATGTCTAAGAAAATTGAAACAAGTGGCAACTTTCTTTTTCGTGATTTTTGGATTTCTATAGGAAAGCCGAAACTAGATTATGGCCGAAATTTAATCGCAATTAGAACAGATAATGGTTTAAAGGATACTTTCTGAAATTGTCATAGAACCCAAAATTTCGTGGACTTTCCCTTTAGACATAACAATAAACTAGGTTATTTAAGTTCTCTAAACCGTATATCTTGCATATCTTCTATTCTATACTTTTACTGTTACCTCAAAACATTTATGAATATGATTTGACGACAGAATGTCATAAACCTGTTAAAATAAAATTTCATTCTTTAGATCCTGTTATCTTAATTATTAAGCAAGACGTTTTTTCAATTATGTAATTTGTAAATGCATACCATATTTTTTTGTCATGTATATATTCGAAGCTTAAGTTAAAATAATTCTATATTTGTATATGAAATATGGCTTGTAACGATTATTGTCCTTCAACGGTTATTTGTTAGAGGACGTGTGTACGTAATTTCGAGTGTCCCTTTAATTAAGGAGTTGTCCGATTCACAAGGGTACCCTTCAAATTTTTATTTAAGTAGCAATGAGCAGAATATCGTATTTATTTATCATACAAAATATAAAATTGTATGATATATGATTTGATAAAATTGTATGATATATGATTTGATAAAATTGTATGATATATGATTTGATAAAATTTCCTTCTTTGTGTCTTTGCATATAAATCCGCTCGGCACAATTGGAAACTATCAATTTTCAGAAAGCAAAACTAGAACATCTTCATCATTTATGCTCAGACGAAGAATTAAGGGTAAAGTAGTAAACTCACAGGACGCTTTCTGAAGAGAAGGTCATTTGAAATTGCTTCGATAGTTTCTTAAATAGTGGACTGGTTCTTATGTTTAATATTATTATATGAAAAATGCCTAATATTCTTTGTTGAATATATTAAATATTTAGTTGTTCTATATTTTTGTATGTTTTCTAGAGAGAATGGCAGCAAGTAAGGCTCTGAATATTACTAGACAGGTAGTTTTTATATTTTATATTCTACATGTGTCCTGAAATTTAACATGATTAATATTTTAAATAATGAATAACGTTCACATGATTATCAGAAGGACGACGAAAATGAAAATTGTACAGAAAATTTAAAAAACGAACGGATTCTTTAAAGTCATTCAAAAGGGTGTANGGTCAAACTTAACTATCAAACTCAATTTTTTTGTTCGTTCCCAGTTTTATAACGCGAAAAGTGGTAGAGTCTGGATTTGAGAAAATTTATTATAAAAATGAGTTGAACAATAACCTTCAACCTGTCAATTAATAAATTCGTGAGCTTAACCTCGCATATTTTAATTTTATTGTTGATTTTGATCCCTTTGAAAAATAATTTTCTTCTTTTTCTCGGTTATTTCTGACAGGGCCTCGGCCTTGATATCCACAGGATAATTGTTGATTGTTTATTTTATTATTTTGTTAGGTTAAACCTCTTGTGTCAACTACTCCTCTCGATGCAAGAGTTCGTGTTTTAAGTCTGTATAAGGTAACAGTTCATATAAAGGGGGTAAAAAGAATGTTGGACATCAAAAGGGAATTTTTTTAACCTTTTTGATACTTAAAAATTCATTTATATCCCTGTAAAACCCGTTTATTATCTTCAATTTAGTTTACAAAACCCTAAACATAAGGGGGGCGATAGTTCAAGAAAATAAACACCCTTGCACTGTAACAGTTTACGACACTTTGGCACAATTTTTTTCTTTACATATCGCGCAATGCATTAATTGTACATTTCTTAAATAAAAGAATTGGCGCCATAAATTTTATGATCATTTTAATCAATAGTGCCATCAATAATTCACAACGGTACATTTTTCAATATCTTATGTGTCATTTTTCCAAAATTATAGCAAAAGTTCTTGCTCTCCTGGTGCTATAAAAATAAAAAGACAACAGAGCCGGGATATCTATTTTCCAAACTTCCATCAGTGCTTGGATAATATTTAAAGGGTACCATTGTGAATCCTACATTTTATTGACTTTCCCTTTAACCTTTATTCGATATTAGGCTTGGTACCGACATATTCCGTACATGTGCAAGGATTTCGATATCCCCCCATCTGTCGAGGATTGCAGGTTAATCAATCGATAAATCAATTAAAACAAAATTTAAAACACTAATCAATTTGTTTCTCTGATTTTTATGACCTTTGTTTTGTTGTAGTTGTTTTTTACTTTCTGTCTTGGTCCTTGTTTTTCTTTTTTTTCGTCTTTGTATCTGTCTATGTCTCTCTGATGATGTAGTTATTGTTTCACACGTTCAATTGATATTTTTCTAGTTTCTAATTGAGGAATAAATCTAAAATAATAAAAAAATCAGATTAATGTTTACAGGAATGTGCTGAGATCAAGTTTCAAGAAGAATTCTCATCTGAAGGATATTAGAGTTATTGACATGTTGGTCATTAAGGTTATTAATAATTAAGTAATTAAGAGAGAAATTTAGGGAGTAATTAATTAGTGATTAAGAAAAAAAAATTAAAGGGACAGCTACCATTATTTCAAATGTCATTACATGTAAAGATGGCAATGCCCGATTCACAACGGCACCCTTGAACCCCTTATCAGATCGATTTGGATCGTTTTTCTGATTTAAAGGGACTGTAAAGGATAAATAAAACCTGAGAATCTCAGGCATTGAACGATACCTATAAGAGTTCTGTCTGATGTTTCTATGTTGAGAAATTGACATAAACCTGTGTCAAAATTATACTAAAACGTATATATGTAAGGTATACGTCCGTATCACGTGACCAGAACTCCCTCCAATGGCAGTGCAGTATACTGGTCACGTGATACAGACGGAGACACGACAATAATACTGCATTGTCATTGGTTGGAGTTCTGGTGACGTGTTCCGGACGTTAAAATAATATTATCAATTTGATCTATTAAAAATGAAAAATGTTTAAATTCAAATAATAATAGGAGAAAACTTTAGTTTCTCAGGCTCCTCTGGGATATTGTTGTTTTCAGATTGGTTGCTTCTTTGTTGAATATGATCTGTTTAATACTACGAATCTTATACAAAATCTTACATTTTTATGTTTTGGTATAATTTTAACACAGTTTTATATCAATTTCTCGAGACAGGAACATCAGATAGAACTCTTCTATGTCTCAATCAGCTCCTGGGATTCTCAGGTTTCAGTCTATACCCCTTTTCATTTTCCCTTAAGGTTCCTTTACATCGAGTTAATTTCTGACAATTTTTCCATTGTTTCTGCAACAAGAAATGCGCAAGTCACTTTTGCAGAGAAATCCAAAACAAAAATAAATAATCAGTTTTCTAAAATAAAAACACTGTCATTCATTTTTTACTCGATCCGACTAAGCTTTTAATGTTACCGTTTGAACCGGAAATGCTTTTAATGTTACCGTTTGAACCGGAAATGCTTTTAATGTTACTGTTTGAACCGGAACTACCACTTTTGCGTGTCACTTAAAAATATTATTCAGTCTTTACAGTAAAAGTTATAAAGGAGAAGTAAACAAGGGATTAAGGTATCCTAAATAGAAGTAGTAATTAATGGAGTAAGAAAGGTATTTTAATCAAGTGCTAATAAGTAACTATTATGAAAGTGGTTTCAAAAAGGCGAGCAAAAATTATCCGCTGATCATAAAAGAATTGAATTTTTACCTTGAGTGTTTTTTCTGTGAACAACTTTATGCCAAGCTTTTTTAACAACTTTTTAATCTTCAGGGACAGCAGGATCTGAAGGAAGTAGCAGAACACTGGAAACAGCCGAATCATATAATGGCTAGATGGTAAAAATAGAATTTTTTTAAGTTTCTTTTAAATCAGAAATCCTTTTTATTATCTTTTACCTGGATTTTACTGTTGTTCCTCTGAAACAATTTTTACTTTTAAAGAAAACAAATGAATTTGTGATGAAAAATTTTCAGAAAGAGTTAAAAAAAAAATTGCTATTTAATTTTTTTCGAGATATTTGAAGGGTTGGGGACTCAAAAATGAAATTTTATTATTCACCCAAAGTTTCGAACCCTTGAAACAAAAACCAGCGTATTTTTGGTTAAACGCAATGTTGATATTTTTCCCACAAGCCGCAGTACTCATCCCAGGAATAAATATTTTGTAACTTTTTTCAACTTTTATGATAATTGGATATCAACTGATTAGTTTTTGTTAATTTTTGTCTCATTTTAATATAATTAATTTTCTCAAGTTGAGTGATATATAACCTGACAATTACTTACATAACGGGGGTAAAAAATTATTATTGAAAAAAATTGAACTAATTTGAAGGGACTCAACCTACATGGAAAGATAGCTATGCCCAATTCACAACGGTACCATGGAAACCTGTATCTAGTCAAAAATGTGGAAGATAATTTTGCGTTTCTGACTTGAAGAGTTTTTAGTTCTGTGATTTTCCTCATTTTTTCTGATAAGCAAGAAATGCGCAAATCACTTTCGCAGGAAACCACAAATGAAAATAAACAGTTTAAATAAAGAAAAACTTAGATATCTAATTCATAATTAATCAGACTAAGCTTTTAAGGTTACCGTTGTAAATTGGGCATTGCCATCTTTGCAAAAAGGGTCACTTGAAATTATGATAACAGTTGGACGTTTGGATTTAACTCCTGTCTACTTTCCAGGTTTTCTGGCGAGAATGTGAAGGAGAGACCCAAGGACTTTATTTCTAAGTTTTTGGCAGGGCATGAGTAAACAGGAAGGAGACATTAAGTGTTAGGCTTTTATTTTACTTTAAAGGGACAAATAACGTTATTACAAGCGAGTTAAAGAGTGCTGTTAAAGTTTTGATGAACAACTACCAATGATTCTTCAAAGACTAAATAATCGTATAAATCTACTTTTAAAATGGCAAATTATACAAATTATACAACACACGAATTGTATAATGTAGATTGTAACAGTCTTCTTTATCGCAAAGATCACTTTAAAAAATGTTGATAATCCCTCGAAATTTAATGTTTTTATTGATTTCTATTATTTGATGTCTCGTAACTATCCAGGAACCTGTTTCAAGTTAGTTATGATTAAATCTTCAGTCTGAAATATATTGATAAATTACCATGTTTTTTATTGAAGAATAGATAATAAGATATTTAATAATAAACTTTATAAATGGGGTACAGTCAGTGTTCAGTTTGATGAGGAAAATTTCAGGATTTACAAGTTTAACCTAATGATTTTTGTTCTTAAATTTTTCTGTATCAGTTGTCAAAGCTGAATTTATTTTTTTATCAATATAATTTTTGTACACATGCGAAATTTAGTAAATTTTTTTCAGCTATTGCCACGACCTACGAAGTCCCAAATGTTTCGGACGTTTCCTTTAATAGAATTTGCTAAATTGTTATCAAACCGATTTTAGAAGATTTTTCTTTAAGCAATCGACTACATAATCCTTTTGATCTTTGAAAGCAGCTGGCTAGTATTTTTTAAAGTTTAGAATAAACCTGTTCAAAAGGAATTATCTTAAAAGTAGCACGCTAGTATTTTTTAAAGTTTAGAATAAACCTGTTCAAAAGGTAGAATAAACCTGTTCAAAAGGAATTATCTTGAAAGTAGCTGGCTAGTATTTTTTGAAGTTTAGATTAAACCTAATCAAAAGGAATTATCTTGAAAGTAGCTGGCTAGTATTTTTTAAAGTTTAGAATAAACCTTATCAAAAGGAATTATCTTGAAAGTAGTTGGCTAATATTTTTTAAAGTTTAGAATAAACCTAATCAAAAGGAATTATCTTGAAAGTAGCTGGCTAGTATTTTTTTTAAGTTTAGAATAAACCCTAATCAAAAGGAATTATCTTGAAAGTAGCTGGCTAGTATTTTTTAAAGTTTTGAATAAACCTATTCAAAAGGAATTATCTTGAAAGTAGCACGCTAGTATTTTTTAAAGTTTAGAATAAACTTATTAAAAAGGAATTATCTTGAAAGTAGCTGGCTAGTATTTTTTAAAGTTTAGAATAAACATATTCAAAAGGAACTATCTAACTGTCCGACTACAAAATTGGTTTTTGATCGGATTTAAGGTTACAAAGCACCAGCTTCGAGATGTTTTCTTATATACTCTGGCTTGCTTTTAGGGTGCTGTCCTGATTATAGTTCGTCTGCCATTTAAAATCATTTTCACAAATTTGGGCCCGATCGGTTTAGCCTTTTAGGCATTTATCGGTTACAAACAAACAGATAAAAAAGTATATATATATATAGATTGTGGAAAGAAAAGTGACCATTTAAATCTATTTCATAGTTTCAAAGTTTATGAATTTAATACCATAAATATTAATTCCTTTAATAGTGTTACTAATTATTGGAGTTGCGAAGGCTCGGGGACATGCACCGGGATGATTTTGATTGGCTATGAGATCATTCAGCAAATCAAAAAGGTCCGGACGAAATTTAAAACTGCAATAGCTATTTACAAGTTCAGGTGGTAAATTCAAGAAAACAAAATTATGTAATAAGACGACTTTTTTATCAAATTTTTAATAAAATAGCTTTCTTTGAATTACAGTGAATAAAGAAAGAGAAGCTTTATTAATTAAAAGCTTCTCTTTGTTTCCATGTTATGTGTAACCAATAAACATGTTAAGAAGTTTGTAAATATAAAATTCTGAATTAAAATAGACGGTACAATTTGTTTATACCATTAAAACTATTTTATAGTGTTGAAATGGTTTCTGAAAACAGGCTTTTGGTGGATGTAACAATGCTAACTTAAGTGTTTTATTAAGCTCAGACAAATCAACCCAAAATGTTCCAATCCCTAACTCTTTGCAACCTGAGATTATAACCTTTGATAGTTCAAACTTAAGATTATTTGATCTAACCGAATTAATTGGAAATTGGCCAAGACCTTGTCTGAACTAATCAACATCTCAATTTCTCAAAAAAAAGCTAAAATTTAGTCCACAATAATATTTATTCATACATATTCTAATACCAAATAAAACTACAATTATTAATTTCTAGTGGCTTGAGGTTCCTTGACAGAAAAGGTAAAATCTTCATAAACTCCAGATCCTGTTGGATCTCCTAACCAGGGATAGTAGGAGGGACAATCTTGACAGGTCTGCAGTCTAAAAACAAAAAATATGAAACAATATTCAGTAATGTAGAAATTGACACACTTGTCACAATTCGAAAATAAATTTTATATTTTTTCAATAAGAAGAAATTAAATAAAAAGATAGAGATCGATCAACACAAACAAATTACCGACAAAAAAACTTTGTCACGTCAAATGTATACAAACATCAAAGCAGTTAACCATGTAGGATTTATTTGTTTGCAAAAAGGGAATAGATTTTTTAAGGAAAATTCTACCCCACAAAACAGTTCTCCAGCATAAATCGCGAAAAAAGCTTAAGCACAAAATTTCGTCTGGAAACTATTTGTGCGCCCTGCTTCTCAGATTATCCTTTGATTAGCCAAAACCAATGATTTTTTTATTTTTTCTCCGAGTGTTGCAACATTCAACTATAATCGTAAAAAAATCAATTTAACTCCAAACAAATCCTTCAGATATTACAACCAATAATCAATAATTTTTTGACATATTCATACATAGTTGATATTTCATAATATTTTTTACTTGTTTATGATCTGATAGTTCCTTTTAGAAATTTTATTTTGGTTGAGAGGATTTTTGATAAGGAAGGCGACATTTTTTTATATTTTCCAGGAATGTTCAAAAATCAAGCGCCAGCAAAAAAAAATTTTGACACTAAATCAAAAATATTGTGAAATATTAACTATATACGAATGCGTCGAAAAAAAAATCAATGACTGTTTGCAATATCTGTACGATTTGTTAAGAATTAAATTGATTATTTTACGATCAGAGTTACATGTTCCAACTTTCTAAATTTGTTTTTAACAATTTTTTTCCTGATATACGCAACAAGAAGGAAGTGTGCAACAGAAGGAAGTAAGATTAGTATCGATCGAAAGCGCTTATTTTTCGCCGTAAGCTTATACCCCTTTCCATTTTTCGCGAACACTCCCTTTAATCTCTAGAAAAAAATGGTTTACCTCTGCTTAACACCACCAAGAGCTGGAGTCTCCAATTCACATTCTTTCAACGACTAAAAACAAATAAAATTCAATGATGTTTTTGCACCGTTTTTTATACTGCAGTTCAAATCATGCAAACGCTTAACTTTCAGTTATGAATATTCAAAACTGCGGGTCACATTTTCTAAATTCAGAGAGCTTCAGTTCTCTTATTTGTAAACAAACAAGGTTATTGATTCAATTAAGACTGATCAGTTCGTTTAAACTTTTGAAAATAAATTAATTCCATAATCGGTTTCAACAATCATTTGTCCCAGGATTTTCTTGGTGAAGTTTTGCAAGTACAAATGTTTTACTATTTGTTGAATAAACGTTCAGATTTAACTAATTACATACAGAAACGAAACGAAATTACATACTGAAACGAAACTTCCAAGATTCCTTTAAGGATATCTCTGGACTTTTTGAGGAAACAGACTAAATAATATTACATAACAAATTTATTGACTTCCACAAGGCTGCCTAACCCCATACGGGAAACCCGGGTTTTTATAACTAAATAATGTCTTCAGCTTTGGGTTAAAAATCTTACCTTGCATGTGTCTGGAGTATCAAGATGTGTACACCTTTCCTTCCAACCAGAGAATTTAACAGCATCCCTGAATAAAATTCTTTCAATATTTCGAAGTTACAATTTATGAGGTGTTTAAAGTCTTCACTAAAGTAACTGAATTGCCTAAGTTTCTGTCTCGAGAATTTGACATAAAACTTGATGAAAATTCATATATATGCAACAATCTAGGTCCAGAGTATTCTCTAACTACTTGCATGTCTCTAAATCTGCTGTCAATCCTATCTTCTTAGCCTATCCAGGCTAAACATGGCCGTGTTAAACAAAGATTCATACGATACTAATTAATACAAATAGATATTGATATATATGGAATTTTATATAAAAGTTGTGGTATTAAACACATATTCAACAAATGCGCAAACAATCTGAAAACAACGATATCCCACAGGAGCCTGAGAATCAGGTTTGCTCCTTTTTTAATTTTTTAATTTTTATTTTGCATTTTTAGAAAATATAATTAAGAATATATTACAGTTAGTCCGTATACTCTGTATTACGTCACCAGAACTTCAGCCAATGGCAGTGCAGTATCATTGTCACATGATACAATTGGCAGTGCAGTATCATTGTCACGTGATACAGACTGAAATCACGTGACCAGTATACTGCACTGCCATTAGCTAAAGTTGTGGTGACATAATACAGACTATCACATAAATGTAATAATATCTACTAAAAATGCAAAATAAAAGTTATAACATTATAATAGGAGCAAACCTGAAATACATGGAGGTTTCATTCTAAACGTCCTTTTATTTTTCCTTTACAGTCCCTTTAAAATCACGGTTTCCCTGGACGAATTTTGTCCAAATAATTGTAATAACTGTAGGACGGAAAACGTAACAATAGTTCTTCTATAAACTTATTTGCTGTTAAGGAGCATATTACCATTTGTAAGGATTTTGATGGTAAAACCAATTTTTTATAAAAATCCCTAATTTTTGAAAATGTCGTTTTTTGCAAAGTCCTTGAATACTGCACTGCACCCTCAATTAAATTATTATAACTAGCCAGCCACCCTTTCAACATCCCTGTAAATTAGTTTAACAGTAATCTTGTTGAAATAACCTCAAACAATCTCACAATCAATTTTATGGAAAGGGTTGATCGAATATTTATTCTATAATTATGTTAAAAAATCTAAAACTTCAAGATGAGGAATAAAACAACATACCTGATACTCACTGGCTGTTGCATCCACTTTAAAACATCGTACATGGACACAACATAAACATCCTTGTAGGTGGAGAGTATCTCGTCCAACCAAAATTCCAGGGCCTCCAGCATCTCGGGGGATTTGCCCAACCATGCAGCATGCATGTAAATGCCAAAAGGAGCCCTTAACAGAGATTCTATTTAATACCACCTTGGAAAATGTAAACTAAGCTTAAACTCTACTTTAATACAGAAAAATCCCAAAAAATTGTGCTCCTGCCACTGTTATGTTCAGTAACCTGTCAGATAATAACTTTCAAAGAGCAAAACTCAGTTAAACATCTTAGTTTTCCATCAATGTTCAACTTTCCCTTATATAAAGAGTTAAACCCCATAACTTGAAGCAATAAATGGACTTGAGTAGACTCCATTTATAAATGTGTGAATAAGACTGGCCGCTCTGTCTAAATACAGGGTTACTTAAAATAACATCATTCCCCAATACTTCTAATTAACAAGTTTTAAACAAAGTACAAAAATTTAACTGAAATTGAAAGAAACTCCCAGATATAAGCTTGAGATAATAACTTTCAAAGAGCAATACTCAATTGAACATCTTCATCCTCCATCAATGTCATCTTTTCCTGATATAAGGAGTTAAACCTCCAATTAGAAGCAATAAATGGACTGAGTAAATGTTAAACAATATCCTTAATTCAGCATCTCTGCAATACAAAAGAAATATCTTAAATGATTCACCTATTTTGCTCATAATGACGGATGAAGTTGTGAGTGAGAACATTGTAGAGATTATCCGGGGATCGCAGGCTGGAACAACTATCTAACATGGCACAACCTGAAAATCAAGACAATTTAAGAAATTAAAAGTAAAAATTGGGTTTTTTGAAGTAGGGCAAGTCTTCCAAAAATGCATTGGGAATTTGGTGTGAAGGAGATGTCGGTAGTAATGGTGTTAAATGTACAAGAATATCCGTAAACTAAAGGAAGCAAACTAAAGGAAGCAAACTAAAGCAGTCCCTTCCTGGATGGATTTTAAGTCTAAATTTGATTAACCCAGTAACAACTTAGGATTTTACCAGACACTTGCTCCTTGAGATCTTGTCCTGGTTCTTCTCTTGGATCAAACTCATTAACAATCATCTCCCAAACTCCATAACTCCTAAATTTAGAAAAAATCAAAATACAGTAATGCTAAAAAGCACTTGGGACACTTGGTGGGACACTTCTGGAAGCATATTGTAATATTAAGAAAGTTAAGTATGTTAGTACCTGGTGGGACACATCCAGAAGTTTCCGTGACAAGAATGAGGTAATAGTACCTGGTGGGACACTTCAGGAACATGTATGAGCTAATGCTTAAGTATACTACTACCTTGAGCTTCACTTGTGGAAGTTTGTGACATGCATGTGGTAAAAGAGGGAGGGGGTGCAGAGGTGCCATGATACCCGCAAAAATGACCTCCAAGCCTCCGAATTTGCAGAATTACCTACAGGCCCCGCAAAACTGGTCTCCCAGCCTCCGTGACGTCACCAAGCCTCCCGCCATTGTCTCCACGCTCGGAGGTAATTTTTGCAAGGATCATGGCGCCTCTGCACCCCTTCCCTCAGTAAAGAAAGTTGTGTAAATTGGTACCTGGTGGGACACTGCAGGAAGATTCCATGACAAGTAAGGTAATGCAGAGAAGGTTTAAATATATTGGTACCTTGTGGGACACTTCTGGAAGTTTCCGTGGCAAGCATGAGGTAATGCAAAGAAGGTAGTGTAGGGCCATAGAGGAGGGTTCTGTAGGGGAGCAACTAGTGAGGAATCATACAGGAAATCTGATTCTTCTAGAGCCTAAACAACAAAAATATATTCAAAAAAGGTGAACAGATCATTTTATCTATTGTAAATTGCAAAATAAACAAACTTGGACTTACATTCACTTTATTTTAAGAATTAATGCCCAATTCAAGTTGTGCCCATTTTACCATTATTCATACAAAAATGAAGTCCATCATATCCTTTATAAATCCGCAATTTGATCATTTGAATAGAAACCACAATTGAAATCCTTATAATTTTTGCCCAGATAAAGTTGTTGAGTTTGGGTTTAAATCTATGTGCATGCCAATCTTTTACATAAAGATCACTTAAAATTACGTAGCAGTCTCTTAAATTTTTTTTTTATTTCAACAATTTTTAAAGAAGAACTTTAAAAAATGCAAAAAAAATTACTGCATGAAACCATCATTACAAATAAATCCAGAGAAATTTTATAAAAAGTCATTTTACTGAAGAAAAATACTTACAGCAAACTGTCTATTTCCACCTAGTCTAAGCAGAGGAGATCTGCTGCCGTATACGCTTCCTTTAGGAACTCCACCAAAAGACTAAAATTTAAATCTTGGTCAATATACTAATGAACTGGATGGGCCAATAGTTTAGGTTGGTTTTTTGTTTTCCATCATTTCCGATTTCTACAAAATTTGCTTTTATAAACTGAATGGGCTAACGGTTTCGTTTCCAACATTAAAATCTATTTTCTGCTAAATTTGCTTATTGTAAACCCACCAAACAAGTCCAAAGTGTCAGTCAAAGAGTATGTGTGCAACCCTAAATATAAAACAGTGTAGAACAGACAAGACCAAACTGGTCTTAGTGTACAGTGAACGAGGAGTATAGGCAGCCTGGTAAATTGGACCCTTTTTTATCTCGAGAAATAGGTGAGTTGGGGAATAATATTTATGCCAGAGAAAGGAGGAACAGCATTATCTGCTGAAAAAAGCAATATAGTCAGCCATCTTATGCCATGATATGGACAGTCAGCACAAAGTATCTGAAGAGAAGAGTCGAATGGAAATATATTCACCCCTAGGCAACGGTCATGTAAATTTATATCAACTTTAGTTAGTCCAATACTAATCGTTTAGTTATAATGTAAATATATAGTATGTGGGCAACCTTTTTTTTCAACTCAATCTTCCTCCTTGGCTTTTTAATACCAGAGTTCTTTTCCAAGTCTATTTTATCTTAAAATTCATTGCAATCGATTTTTTGCATATATTTTCTCTTGGGGTCAAAATTTGGCAGGTTTTAAAAGCAAATGCAACTTGGTACAACTTTAATGAACTGGAAGGGCCATGAACTAGGTAGTGTTCCATATCTATTAACTCAAAGGTTCCATCAAGGAAAATTATTAGAACAAAATTACCTCAATGATTTCTTTGCTTCCTTTCATCTCTTGAGTCCACAACTCCTTGGTTCCATAAGTCCAGTAGTCTTCCACATTGTCATGAGTAATACTGTGGCTGGCTATCTCATGCCCCTATCAAAGATTAGAGTGGTAAAATCATGTCAAAAAACAAATATTTGGAAATTAAAAATAACTTACACTTCTGTATAACTCTTGAACCATGGAGTAGTTGGTATACTTGTGAGAGACAAAAAAGGTAGCTTTGATATCACAGCTGTTGGGATTCTAGTAATAAAAAAAAATTGATCATACAATTTCCTAACGGTTAAATTTTAAGCATCAGACCTTGCGCCGTCCATTGAAGAAGTTCTTATAGATATCAAAGTTGTTGTTGTTGACAGCATCATCAAAGGACATTACAATCATCTGAGGAACATCTTCAGGTTTTAGACCTCCAGGAATCTTTGTTCCAGATGGAGAACAGAAACAGTCAGGAAGCTGGACAGAAAATTTAATGTAAATAAGGACTGAAAGATAAATTAACTTGATTATATATATTAGGATTTTATAACAATTATTTCAAGAACCTTTATGCCAACCATTATCAAGGTCACAAATCTTTGATTGGGTGAATGTGGTGAGAAGCACTACAATACAGTTAACCCAGAACTTAGGGACATTTAAAGAAATTATAAAATGTCGTCTTAGAGTAATTTTTCAATTAGTTAAATGCTATTTTATCTAAATCTCATAGTTGTTAAAAAAATTACTGCCCATAGAAATGAATTTTAAAAATTCTTTAATTTCTCCTAAATATTGTTAATCTGTATTGATCAGTGAGTAAATAGAACAGTAATTGGTTAGAATAAATTTTAAAATGCCCTCTGTCCAACTCTGAATTAAGACCAATTAATCTCATAGTATATCAACCTTAGATAACAGCTAAGACATCAGTAAAATTTCTGTAAATGGGTGATCTGTTGCTAATAATTTACCTTGCAGATGTCTGTGTCACATGATTCAGCTCTGTTAGGATCAGTCCTTGGACCACACAGGTTCTCATCACTACCATCAATACATTGAGGGATATCATCACAAAACAACTCTTTCCTAAATAAATCAAGTTACCTGAGAAACGTCAAATAATCAAGGCAACATGTTACAAAATTTAAATAACATGGAAAAGCCATCTCACATTTGATAATCAAAAAATTATTAACCAAAGATAAAAACCTTGAGAGATTTAAAGTTAAGTGCATGCATGCACTAAAACAATTTTATTTATTTTGAAAGAGTCAATCCAAACAAAAATCTTTAGATTATAGTTACCTAATTATCAACATTTCTGCATAATAAGGTTAAAATATTTCTAAAATTTATGTAAATCAAAAGCACTGGAAATCCTCCTATACCTTACACATTGTCCATCTCCACAGGCCAAGTACCCAGGATCACATAGTGGTTCTTTAGTGTTAAAGAGTGGAAGAACTAGCTTTGGACGAGCCTGAATTTGATTATTATCAAAATAAGAAGTTTATATTTAATTTAAAGATGTAGGATCTTCCAGTATTGCTAGCAATTGTATAAGAAGCTTTTTTACCTGACCAATAACAGCTCTTACCTTGGTGTTGCAGTTCTGAACTGCATTTCTCCACTCACAAGTTTGCTTCTCAAGATCAAAGGCCAGACCAGGAGGGCATCTGAATGTAGTAATTTAATTCAAGTTTCTAAGGTAAGACTTTAGAAATGAAATTTTACAAGCAGCAACTTCCCATGCAGATTGACTAGGCCTTCTGAAGTGCCTCAAGGCTCCAATTAGGGAGGGGGGCAGCGCTGCGACTAGGATTAAAAAGGGTCAAGCACTGCCGCTTGAAAAGGTCATGGGGCCAAGTGCGGTGCTGTGCCACTTAGGAAATAGAAAATTTGGGAAGTTGCCACTTGGGAAATATATTCCATCTTAACCAGCTCAACTCTAGAGATAAAAACATAAATATGAGACATTCAACGCAATTATCAGCGGTGATCAATTATGTGAAGAAAAACAACAACAGTTACCCCTTATTTAAAATTCAGTGAAGGTGATGGACCAAACCTCTGTAGAGTAAAATAGTAGATGTTAGTTCCACATTTATTGAAAATATATTTCGGTCTGGGTTGACCCTTTTCAGCTCTTGAGATTGTTTCTTCACAATTTATAGTTCTACAACAATTAACCCTTATTCATAGTTCATCAACAGTTAACCCTTTTTTTAATAATTAACAGTTAACCCTTTTTTGAGTTCATCAACAGTTACCCCTTATTTAGTATTATCATTAGTCATGAGCTGGGCTTATTTTTAGTTCAATTCCATTCATAAACAGCTACCCCTTATTTATAGTTTGCAACAGTCAGTTTTCCCTTATTCATAGTTTACACATTCATTAACAGTTAACTGCACTTAAACTATAGTTCGCAACATTTATCAACATTAATAAGTACCAACAATCACATATTGTAGAGAAACTATTAAATTTATTGTGTTCGGAGAATCCAGTAGACTCGTATTAAAATAAATAGAGTATTTTCCCAAGAAATTAACAATATGATAGTTGTATAAGTCGTCTTCCACTGGAACAAAACTTTTGCATTAGAAGAGTCCTTTAAGATGCTTTATTACTTGATTTTCAAAACATATCAATTAAAGGTGCATATGATTAGTCACTTTCCGTCTGGACTACCAAGCGTAAAGTCGACCCAGAACGTTTACAACAATACAACAAATGTAGCCTGGCAAGATCAGTGTTAACTACAAGCCCACCCCCTCCCCTTACCAGCCCTCTTAAAAATTCCTGGTTAAAAAAAAATCTTTTCCATATTTCAATTTAAAGCTAAATTTCTTAGTCGCGCTGCCTTGGGTTACATGGCGTATAATTACCGTATAGCTTGAAGACCACCATCAGCACAAGCTACAACATCTCGACAATGCTTGGCTCCAGCAACAAGTCGGAAGAATTCACCAGGATTTTTATCCTTAAACACAAGGTTGAAAACGGTTGAAGGGACTGTCATAATTTTAAGCGTTTTACAGCGGTTCCCTTTAAACCTTCATTTTATCAAAAATTTCAGTTTCTACTGCAGTTAATTTCTGTAGCAAAAAAAGCAATAAGTCCCTTTCCAGAGATACCCACAACGATAAAAGTTTCCAGTAACAAAAACATAGATATCTAATTCTAAGTTTTGCAGATTACCGTTATGAACAGGGGGGATGATATTTCTCTACCTGTGTGCTTAGTTAGCTGTATTGCACACTTACAACTGTTTACTAATATTTATATACTATTGGTTAGGCCAGAATCTCCTTATAATAACAAATATACAGTACGCTCTCGGTATAGTTATGGCCTATACAATTAGTAAAGGATTAGCGTAAATCGTCACTCTATACACTATAACCTCGTTGGTTGTAAATCAGAAATGTCACTAAATCTAACACCGTTAAAATCCCTTTAAGGAACTTTAAGCGTACTTTCAAGTGACCACCCATGAAAATATGGCAATACAATTACAATCTATGGTTTCCATTCAAGAGGTTTTTAGGCCCAAACAAGCCCCCCCCCCCCCGGAAATTAAAGAATGTAAACACCCTGGACAAATTCCTGTGTAGGCCCATGTATTAATTGCCGTAACTAAATTGGTAGCAACAAGCTGTGGAATGACGGCAGTCTTTTAATCATTATGAAACTATATAGATGAAGGTCGTCTTTGAGATTGGTGATTTCGCAACAAGCATGCAATATGCCTCCAATTATTACAGGGATATGTTAATGTTAAAAACAATTCTAAGAACAATTTCATTTAGGACACTTTTTGATTAGAGGTCCTCTTCCTTAGCTAACTGGCACTGCAAGTTTTGACCTTTTTGTCTATTTCCGAGACCTCTGAAACAAGTAAAATGCTTCAAATCATTATGACGATAGTTCATTTCTATGCAAAAAACATTTCTAGAACATATTCTTTTACGACAGTTTTTGATCAGAGGTCGTCTTCGTTAGCTAACAGGCACTGCAAGTTTTGACCTACAATACCTTTTTTTCAGATTTATTTTATTTCGCAATATGCATGCAATATGCTTCAATATTCACCAATTCTAAAAACAAATTCTTTTTTTGATACTTTCTGATTGGAGGTCGTCTTCTTAAGCTAACTGGCACTGATATTTTTGATCTAAATTTACTCTTTTTCTGGATCTGTGTGCCATTTAGCATAAGACGACCTCCAATCAATAAGTGTTATGTTATAAAAGAAATTGTTCTCAGAATTGTTTTAACATTAGAAATGCCTATCACTGTAATAATTGGAGGCTTATTGCGAAATCACCAATCACAAAGATGACCTCCAAGCAAAAAGTGTCATTAAAAGTAATTGTATTTAGAATGGCTTTAAGTCAAAACTTGCAGTGCCCGTTAGTTAATGAAGACGACCTCCAATCAAAAACGACTTAAAAACTTTTTGTTCTTAGAACTGTTTTTTACATAGAAAATAAGTATCTCCGTAATTATTGGAAGCATATTTCTTGTGCATAGCGAAATCACAGATCTCCAGAGAGACACAGGTCAAAAATTGCAGTGCCAGTTAGCTAACGAAGATGACCTTCAATCAAAAAGTGTCTTTAAAGAAATTGTTCTTAGAATTATGTTTTACATAAGAATTGACTATCCCCGTAGTTCTGTGATGAAATTATTAAATTCACTCACCCCTAATATATATTACACCTTGATATTAACGTAGTACCTTGCAAAGCGCATCTCTGATATCATTCTCATCTACTTCCCGTTTATATCTCTCCAATAGTATGTCACTTTCATCAACTTAATAAAAGATGATGAGGGGGGATATTAAGGCCTAAAAGTTTTCTGTCAATACCAAATTCAATCAAAACTGCGATTAAACACAAAATTTTAATTTGATTAAGATTTAATCCTGCAAATGACCCACAAAGGGATGGAATGTGAAGACTACCTGAAACCTATAATACCAAAGTTATAATAATGGTCTGCTTTGAATATAGTTCTTTTACTGGCTTATTAAAGGATTAGGAAAAGAAAGACAAGTTTACAGGAGACGAATAGTGTAAAATAGTCGTCTTTGAATTCTCATACCTTGTGGGTAACCCTGTATGAGAACAAATTAATAATTGCACAAATACATACATGTAAACATTGCAACAAAAATTATCCCAAAGAACATCTTGCATCATCGAATTGAACTATGTAATAATTTTTGATAAGATAATAACAGAGACAAAAAAAACTTACTTATTTCAACTTTACTAGGAGTCACAGAAGGAAAAAGGATACACAATCCTAAAAGAACAAACATTATGTTCACTACAGGATGATCCACTTATTTAGCTAGATCCTTTCTTGTCCACCCACTGTAATGTACTGCACATTGTTTGTTTACAATACGTTATTGTTTACAAACAAACTTTAGAAAATACATAAAAAATATTCAAATTATATCAATAGAAAAAAATCATTTTTTTCGCATTATGGAAATGAAAATGAAACTGGGAGTTTGTTAAGGATTTGAAGTCAAATCCAATATCTTTTTGGTGTTCGGGGAAAAAATCTGAGAAAGGGTCAAAAATAAGGGGTTAAGAGGATAGGGGGTTAAAGGGCTGGGGGATAGGGTAACCACCAAAAAAGTTTTTTGAAAAAAAAGATTTCGGAAATAAAGTCCTACATTTTGGCACCTAAAAAGTCCTGTGGAAAAAAGTCTTTGAAATAAAAAGTCTCTGGAGATGAAGTCCTATCATGTTGAGACTTAATTTTCTAAGACTTTTTTCCTGGTTCCAGTATATGATTTTATAAAAAAAATTCTCTGGAAAAAAAGGCCTTTTACAGTGGAAAATGCATGTGAAAAAAGATGTTTACAACCATGGAAAAAAAGAGTTTTGATATTTAAAACACCTGTGGGCATATTCAATATGCAGATGCATAGAAGAAAAGTCCGTTTCACGAAAACGTCTAAGACTTGACCTCATTTTCCCAAGACATAGGACTTTTGTTTCTTTAGGAGTAATTAATTCCTGTGATCTTATTTTCTGAGACTTTATAGGCAGGCACCATATTATTTTAGGAAAAAAAGTCTCGGGAATCTATAAAACTCTGGACTTTATTTCCCGTGGCATTTTGTCCTGGGACTTAAAGGGACTGTAAAGGAAAAATGAAAGGGGGTATAGGATGAAACCTGAGAATCTCAGGTTTTGAACGATACCTTATGTTCCTGTCTCGAGAAATTTACATAAACCTGTGTCAAAATTATACCAAAACGGGAATATGCCAGATTTTGTATAAAAGTTGTAATATTAAATAGATTATATTCAACAATTACGCAACCAATCTGAAAACGATTATATCCCACAGGAGCCTGAGATCTCAGATTTGCTCATATTACAATTTTTTATTTTGCATTTTGCATTTTTAATAAATATAATTGATAATATTTTTACATATATTCTGTGTAGTCTGTATTACGTCACAATAACTTCAGACAATGATAGTGCAGTATCGTTGTCACGTGGTACATACGGAAATCACGTGACCAGTATACTGCACTGCCATTGGCTGAGTACTGGTGACGTAATACGGACTATACGGATAAAATGTAATAATATTATCAATTATATCCGTAAAAAATGCAAAATAAAAATTAAATAATTATAACAGGAGCAAACCTGAGATTTTCAGGTTGCTGTGAGATATAGTCGTTTTCAGATTGGTTGCATAATTGTTGAATATGATCTATTTAATACTACAACTTTTATACAAAATCTGGCATATGCCCGTTTTGGTATAATTTTGACACAGTTTTATGTCAATTTCCCGAGACAGGAACATAAGATAGATGTCTTATAGGTATCGTTCAAAACCTGAGATTCTCAGGTTTCATCCTATACCCCCTTTCATTTTTCCTTTTTACCAAATACGAGACAACTAGTGGTTCTTTAAAACCCATACAAAAGGAATTTTAAACTAAATTATTTTTTCCGAGGTCTTAAAACAAATCTGAAATTTGATAAAAAAATATATGCAAAAAATGTCATTGCCTGAATGCCTTAATTTTCCTACCAGACTCAATCTTCTTCTGCATCCGTTTAGAGTCTTTTCCTCAGACGCATTAAAAAGAAATTTTCACATTTTAAACTTTTCTTTTCTTGATTACAAAAATGGATTTTGAAAACATTACAAAAACTTATAAATGACCATATTTCACGTAGTGTTTGTATTTGCACATTTATTGCTAAATCACTGGGATTTTCTTTTAATTTTTGAATTTTTGCTGATGTTCAAAATTTGCAACTTCGGCTTAGCAGTTCAACTCCTTTTCGCATCTGCATTAAATCAAGCACCTTGTTCCCTTCTATGTTTAAGGCAAACATTTAAACTTTCTTTGTATCATTTTAAGAGTTCACAGTGATCCAACGGTTCCAAGCTAAAAGCAAGTGCTTTATCAATATAAAAAGTACACGTAAAGGGCTACAATAATATAAGTGAGGTTAAGGCGCTATAACACATTTCAAAATTGACCAAGTCTTATAAAATAGATGTAACTTTTGAAGAAGTCTGGATCCATGTGAAATCGATTTTACAACATTTCTTTTCGACTTTTATATTGTTTTGGGCGGCAACGTTGCATTCATATGTTGTTTATGTGGATTATATTGTCTCATTCTTGTCACACTTATTTTCTTAAATGAATCTTACTTTTCTTCTCATCATTGCAGGACCGGCATACATTCTTACATAGTATTAATTAACAATACAGATAGATCATAAGATGTCGTCTTTTTATGACTTAGGGGGTTTTCGTTAAAAACAAATAGATTATAAAGTACAATAGGTGGCAACAGAGAAATGAACCAATTATACACAACGTCACAAGTGTCAAATATAACAAGGAAAACGAAATTGTCTCACATTAGTGGACACGTTTTCCAAGATTAAATAAAAAGGTGTAAAAACAGAAACTAAAGAACACATAAAATTGCACTTATTTTACTGTAACACAAGCACTTTATTCTAAAATTATCAATAATAGTGATAATTTTGACGGACACAAAAACTGAATTGACACTTGTGACGTCAGAATACAGCTGTACTGAGAGTGTACAAATTCTACGTTGCCATCAATTGTACTAGAATCTAATTGGTTCAAAATAACCCTGAGGCAGAAATCTTGAAAAGACAACATCTAGTGTTATAACTGTATTTTTATTAATCAATGCATATTTATATCTTACTTGTTCTTCTATGTGAAGGGTAAACCACAAAGGATAATACTTAAACACGACTTTTCTGCCCTGAATATAGTCTTAATGGCATGATAATTGAATTTGAGAAGAGCAAAACAGGTTTGCAGCTGCACGGGGAACCTTTATGTAAGAAAAAAGACTGAATGAATTTCATACAGTCGTCTCTATTAAGTATCATGCTTTGCGGATAACCCTGTATAATCTGTCATATGTTAACTCCAGAGTTCGGCTGGTATAGGAAACCCTCGGTCTCGGATAAATATAAACATCAAAAGAAACCATAGAAAGTATATTCACTATGTCAGTTTTATCAATTTTGTCAAACTGTTTGAATTTGAATCTGGGTGTTTTGGTGTTTGTTTGTTTGTCTGTTTGTATCCTATAAATGTCAAAACGGCTGAACCGAGCGGGCCAACATTTTTTGTAGGATCTTGCGTGACCCCGTTGAAGGTTTATGAATGATCGAATTTTCAAAAATTTGTCTAAAAAAATTTGATTCGATTCGAAATTTTTTACAATGTTTCAAAATATAGAACATGTTAACAATTGAAATAGAGGCTAGGAACCTCTAGATCGATTGGCCTTAAATTTTAATCAGGAAACTTTGTAGAAACATAGAAATGTTCTTCTCTTACAGAACAAGCTTTTTTACCTATATATGTACTTTGCTTCTCTGTTTGTTTGTTTGTATCCAATAAACGTCAAAACGGCTAAACAGATCCGACCCAAAATTTGTGTGGGACTTCACATGTCCCCAGGGAAGGTTTATGGATGATCAAAATTAAAAAAATAGCCTCCAACAAAACTCGATTTGCGTTAAATTTGGAAAATCTACGAATTTTTTTTTATAAAATCCGAGTACTTTGTTTGTTTTTGATTTACAATGATACAAAGAGAAAATATTCACAATTGAAATAGCAGATGGGTGCGAAGTGGCCTAAAAAACGTAGTAATTACAAATAGAAAGATTATAATTTATTGGCAAAATGCTGTGATCAAGTGATATAAAGATTAGAATTAATTTTCTAAATATAATAATCAAAAAACCACGCAACCTCTCTTATAAAATGAATTCAAAGTTTTGTGAATGCGAACCATAGACCATACCATATTGGATTCCATGATTAAACTTTCAACACGCATTTATAGCTTATGTTGATCAAAATGTTTACAGTTTAAATCATGATGATTTTTATTTCCATGATTCAATATTTTAACTAGTTAGGTGATGATGCGTTGTTATAATTAGTTATGATTGGTTATGCATCATTCGAAATGAATTAATTTTGTGCATTTCCCCCTTTTTTAACATGCAATTGGTTCATAATACACATATTCAACTACTTCATACATCATACTTCCTGCTTTTCATGATCTCTGATTTCATATTTAACAAATTAAACACAAAATAAATACTTCAAACAGAAACTGCAGTGACGCGCGCACCAATTGGGGGTTAAAACATGTCAGGTGCATAGATTCTATACGGATGAATGTGGCCCAAAATGGGAATTTTGTGAACAATTTTAGATTGATCGGAGCAGTGCATCAGCTGCAAGTCGATTTCGGTTTTTAGGCAAAACCTTGATTTTTAATAGAGGACATTGACTTTTCTTTGTGATCTGGTCAGATGGCTACAATTTGAGAATGTAATTGTATGCAAAATTTCATCATTTTATCTTAATTTGTATATCCGAATGCAGGCTGTACAAAATGTTGATTTCCCCCAAGTATTGTGAATATTACTATAGTCCTGAAACACAAATTCAAAATGGAACCTTTCTTAATCATTTATGGACATATTTTAAACTAAGGTTCGCTAAAATAGAAGAATTTTACCTTAATATGTACGTTTTGTTTGATAAAAGGTTTTCAATATATTTTCATTTACTGAAGAGTGAAGAGTGACCTCAGCTAAATGATATTGAAGGGGGGGAGGGTAGATATGTTTACAATGTGGTGAAAAGAGTTACTATATTTCTTTTTATAGAATTTACATAACACCCGAAATCCTAAGGCCAATACAACATATATATATATATATATATATATATTGTATATATTGTATCTATATATTGCCTTTAGATTCAGAGCTTAGGAAACTTTGCATTTTTCGGCTCGATATAGCTTTTCAAGGTCGT